TGGCACTTTTTCATGTTAACCTTAACTCTAGGCCTTACTGGAAGCCACTGAAGGGGGACACTTCACTACAGATGGGTATGCAGTGCCACAGATGGTCATTTATTTACACTGTGAGGCACTGAACTTTTGCCTTCAGAGCTTCTGACCAGGTTGGCTGCCGAAATAGCCCCTATTTTCTGAAGGCTTGAAGAGGAAAAAATAAAGTTTACATACTCTTGATGTGAAGTGCATTTTAAATGTGTGTTGGCTTGTTGCAGTACTATAAACACAGAGCTGTTAATAATGGTTATGTAGATTACTGTGATTTGAAAACTAAACTCACAAAAACTTATATAGTGAAGAATTAGTAAGGTTTTTTTCTTAAATAAAGAACTTTAACACTACATATTTTACCAGTAAACAGGGATTGCTTTTCCTTTAGTGTTCAGAATGACACCGTATTCTTAAACATACTCCTCCCCTGAAGTGTGTTCGTGTGTGATGCCATATTTCTTTTTCAGGTAAATGCAGTCTTCCTTATAGAAATGAAACTAAACTTGTTGCTCTCTCAGTTCTTTTATATTCTAACAATAAATAATAAAGGAAAGATCATTGACTGTGCATTGTACCTGTGTTTACAGCTTATGGTTGTTACCAGGAAGCTCTGTGAGAGAAAAAAGGGTTAGCCTCCAGGCGAACAGCTAGTGGAGGTTTTCCATTTGTTTGCACATCTCAATCTATTCCTGTTGAGGTCCTGTTTGCACAGTCATCTAACTTCTGAACAAACAATAGACTTTAACTTGTTTAAAATTTGTCTGAAACACCAATGATGTGGCTCCAGTTTATCAGCTAATCTTGAATTTATTCTGTGGTAAATCTTTGAGCTGTTGAGTATCTTTAGATGGGGTGAATTCAACTTTTGTTGAAATGAAAACTGTCTTAATTTTTTCCTCTATGTATATGAATTATTTTTGTTACAAAGCCACTGATATGTGCACAATTGTAATTTTACTCAAGTATGTTGCAGTTGTAAATATTAGAGAGTTTAATCTCGTGCTTTACTTTATTTAGCAATTACTTAATTTGCCAGTAGCTTTATAATTTTTTTAAGATAATTGTTCATTATTTTGTCAATGCTATTTGAACTTAGGATACTAGGAGCCTCTTTCTAGGGACTTTGCCTAGGGAGCATATCCTAACATTTGTTCTTTGTCTTGCATAACTTTAGTAATCTTTGTCATTACGTGTAACTTTGTTGCTCTGTATGGCATATTATTGTATCCATAAACACGGTAATTTTGATACAGTTCTACTTTTACAGTGGTACATAATCCAAGGACTAGTATAGAATTAAGCTGATGCAAGATGAGGGAGGGAAGGGTTTTGTTCTTGGTAATTTAGATGTGAAACCTCTAAGGAGCTATCATGTGAAACGACATAGGGTGGTTGTGCTACTGTATAATTGGGGATGATAATACCAGGAATTTTAATAAGATTTTGTAAAGAATATCCAAAAAAGTAGTGAACTTATTTTCAGTATGACATAGAAACAATGTGAATATTTAAGGTCTGTGACTATACTTAAACTTCACTAACAATCTGCAGAACTGTTTCGAGATGTGGGAATAAAGGTAATTTTGTTGAATCTTTATTGGTGCTAATGATGGACAGTTTAAAAGGTAGCTAGTATATATTGTTATGGGTCAGTACTTACTAGTACTTCCAGAATTGAATTTGAAATGCTATGTATTCACTTTTCACTCTGTAAATGTAATTCTTTACGATGACTTTATTTATTAAAGGGCAGCCAGTTGTAATTTGTACAGGATTGTGTGAGCTATTCAAACTCTTTAACCTCTGAACAGGATTATAGCTTCCAAATCCATCATGGGGATGAATATGAAAATTCTTTTAAGTTTCATTTCCATTAAATGAAAACCCCTATTACTCATATTACCATTAATTTGCTTTACCCATCTCATTTACATAAAATAGTTCATCAGCCTAGTCCCAATAGGCTCAACCAAAGAAAAAGACTCCAATGAATGGACATTATTACCGAGTCTTCTTGTAAGTAGCCATAAATAAACCAAAATAGTATCATCAGATTTAGGTATGAAATTCCATATGTGCAAAGTACTGTTAAGGTGATTTACATTTTTGATGAGATTTTTTTTTTAATATTTGAAATATTAAAATGCATTATCTTTAAACATCCTTTAAAAGAGTGATTCATTTTTTTAGTTGTCTTTTCCCTAGATCATAGTTTTGTTACCTTTATGCAGAAGCACATTGCATAGAAAGGCTTTACTTCTACCTCTTTAAGTAGTTTTCCAGTATTGAGCTGAGCCCCCCTAACTATTTGCCTTAGCTACTTTAAAATACGCTTTCGGAACCAAAAAGCAAAAAAGAGTGTTTATTTTTTCACGGAGATGTTCTCGGAGGCCTGCTTAACCAAACTAGTGCTGATAATCCTTTAGTGGTACAACCTTGCAAAATGTCCCAGTTCCTTCTTGTTGAACCTGAGGTTTGTTGCTTAGGTTTGTCTTTGGAAGCGGTTAAGTAAAGGTGCATCTTGGTCTTTCTCTGCATGTGCAGATGCATTCTGGTTAGAATTGTTGAGTCCACATTTCTTCCATGCTACGTGAGAGGTGCTTGCATCATTTTGTACCAACAGGTTATAATTAGGGTAGGAGACCTTATATTTTTGTCCTGCCCTCCTCCAGCTTAAAGAAATGACTAGTCTACTTCAGAGAACCAAAATTTAAGTATTTTTGTTAGTTACCAATTGCCTTGCCTTAAAACATTTCAAGCACATTTTTTGGTTATATTTGAGAATTTAAATTGCTGATTTTTATTCTTTAATCAACCTTAGAGAAAAACCACTGCTTGCCTATGCATCACTGTTGTATACTGTAGAATTATCTTTGGTTGATCAGATATTTTAGGGTATTTTGCATTTACTATGGAAATAAGGAGGGTTGTTATGGAGTGTTTTTTTTTCTTTTTACATGGTAGTGTCCTTAAAGGAAGATAGTTATATTCTCAAGACACCTCATCATTCCCGAATTTTATCTAGTCCGTGAGCAGTTGTTTCTTGCATAGTATTGTGTACTTTTAAGATATCTTTGCTAAGAAACATTTAAGAGCTCTTGTGGAAGAAGGCTTGATTTAGCAGTCTCTTGCTCAAGAGGCTTTCTGGGGAGGCGATAGGGTTTGCTAACTGCATTTACAGATGAAGGATCGGTTAATCCCATGCCCAGGAAACTTGCATTAACTGAGCTAACAGAATGATGCTTGTTAATTTTGTGTGCCCATGTGTTTATGATAGGTGGTTTAGAAAACAGCACATTCTGGTTTTGGCCTCCTAGGGTGTGAAGTTACGATATCATTGTATTAGTTTGAGAATTCACAATTACGTTAATATCTGGAATTTGACTGCTGTAAACTGACATATGTAAGTCAAGTAGAAGTTTGCTTGTTTTGTAAGGGAAGTTTACCTTGGAAATGTCTGTCTGTATAACAGATGATCTTGCCAGTGGGACTGGAATGCTCAGTGTGTGAGGTCTGATGCCACACATCCATTTTTTATTCCACAGTGTTGATTTGTGCACAGCCAGCTTCTGCTTCTGTGACTCCGCTTACTCTGGTAGTTTACTAGTATTTATTTTCACCTGAGAGATTGTTTAGACTAGGTTGATATAAGTAAAATACCTTGAAGGTTGTGTGGCTAGGAGTAATTCTATTTTCATAAAGGTGAATTAACACATTCGCTGTGATCTTTTAACCCCAAAGGAAATTCTGAGGGCTAATTTCCTTTATTTCCAACTTTTGGGAGGAAGCCTCACTTAGAATTTGTTTAGTAGTTGGTTTTAATTTGATTGCCTGTTGTTTGTTAAGTAATGAGTATACTTTCTTTTAAGGTGTGTTTTTCAAGTGGCTTTACTTGGTTTGAAAAACTTGGGATTTTGTTTTCTGAATGTACCCAAAACCCCCAAGGACTACTGAATAGGGTGTTTGCTAATAGAAAATCCAAAACAGGAATGTGTATGTGTGGCATGAATTTGATTAGTCATTGAATTTCAGCTCCATATCTATTATGAGGAATTATTAATAAAATATGTTTATTGAAAATGTCAACCCAAGGCTCTACCATGTCGTTAATGTGAATCAGGATAACTTTCAGTCCCTGGGAAATACGGGAAATAAGATATTAATGTAAGTTTCTCTTTATCTGAGTAACTTCATAAATCATCAGGCAGTGTGTTCTTTCATTCAGATTGTCCATATTCTAGTTTCATACCCACCACTTTGATGTCCTTGGGTGCATTAGTTGACTTTGTGCCTTGATTTCCTTACCGACAAAGTGTACCTATTCATAGGGTTGTGAGGCTAAGGTCTGGGCTATCAGGGAAGGCTAAATAGAATACATGGCATTGAAGAGAATTTTGCCAGAAATAGGTAAATTTTAGATATCGGAGGGAATGAGGAAGCCCAGTCCAGGTGTATCTAACTTGGGTGTGTATTAAACTACATGCCTGCTGTTTCCAGAATTTGAGTTTGTTCTAAATTCATACTTGCAATTTTCTTGGTTAAACTGTTGCATCAACTCCCCAAAAAGCAAAGAGGAGTTGGAGTTATCTGTGAGGGGAATTATCCATGAAAAAATGTTTATTCATTAACTGCTTTATTACTGCTGCCCTCTCTTAACTCCTTGCGTTGCCCATGAATTGCCCGTACCTTCTACTTGAAAGTGAAGCCATGCAGGATAGATAAAAAGGATGTAGATAGATAAAAAGCCATGCAGGATAGATAGGAAAGTTACACTCTCAAAATGCATCTGAAGCCTAAATGTAAAATAAATGTTTTGAAATCAATTAAAGAAGAGTTGTCTTCATCTTCTGTTGATAACACCAGTAAGGACATACTGTATTAGCATATAATAAGTTATATGAGTTTTATTTAGGGACATTACAAAATCAGTTAATTCCACTTAACGTTAATAATTCCATTTTTGTAATTCATCCTACTCCATTGTTTGTTTGGGGGTTTTTTTGCCCTGCTGTTTTTAATATAATGAAAAAATTATACATTTTTGTTTTAGCTCTGGTATATGACCTGCCTGTTTCCTCTCCCCGACACTACCTCCTATGGCAGTGAAGAGCCTCACTAATGAAAGGGTTTTTATTTTATTGGCATGAAATTAAGAGCTTTCAGACCTTATAGGTGTCCAGGCATGTACCCAAGATCAGTTTGGGGGGGGTGGTTTTTGTCTTCCAAGGCATAATCCGAAGGAGTGGTTGCTCTAGTGATGAACCCAGTGGTAGTTTTGCACCAGTTTGAGAAGTCATGGCAACAGGATAGGGTACTTTAGCGTTTCCTCAGATTTGTTTGCTATTCCAGTTTTTTACTCTCTTTATTGTTAATTTTGTTTATCACCAGTAAAGATACATACTGTCTACATTGGGTACTTTTTCTTTTTAAGCTTATTTATTTTGAGAGAACGCGAGCAAGGGGAGGATAACGAGGGAGAGAGAATCCCAAGCAGGGTCCTTGCTCAGCTCAGAGCACAATGCGGGGCTCAAACTCATTAGGGTGAGATGATGACCTCAGTCAGAATATAGAGTTGGGTGTTTAAGCGACTGAGCCCCCAGGCGCCTCTGCCTTGGGTACTTTCAAGTTGACAGAATCCCCTGGAAAGCTGTTTATTGAGCAAGGTTCTACATTACATAACTGCTTTAAGCTGAATTGCAAATGCAACAAGTGTGAGGACTGAAGATGGCCCTGTAGGTGATGGAGGCTTTCGACTGCTTATTGAGCAGATTATGTGACTTTTATCTTGGAGCTATTCATTACTTTATAGAAGGCCCAGGACTGCTGTAGTGGTCATGCAGGAGGAAATGGATAATGGAATACTGTACTCTCCCCAACCCCATACTCCATAGCTTGCTCTTTTCCACTGTGGCATCTCTCCTCAGCCACTGAGAAGACGTCTGCTGTGTGAGGGCTGAAATAGGTCACATGTAGGAAAGTGCTGTAGAGTTGGAACTACTCTTAGAATTTTACCTGAGGAGTTAACATTTCCTTTGGTGGAGCTTGGGGCCCAGGGCATACAGGAAGATTTAGTACATAATGACATATATTTTTGAATATGATTAAAAACTTAGGGGCGCCTGGGTGGCTCAGTCGGTTAAGCGTCCGACTTCGGCTTAGGTCATGATCTCCTAGTTCGTGGGTTTGAGCCCTGCGTCGGGCTCTATGCTGACAGCTAGCTCAGAGCCTGGAGCCTGCTTCAGATTCTGTGTCTTCCTCTCTCTGACCCTCCCTCACTCACATTTTCTCTCTCTCTATCTTAGAAATAAATAAAACTTTAAAAAAATAAATGAAACTTGCATTATGTGTGGTGAAAAGGGAGATGGTCATAGAGAGGAAGGCAATACTGTTGGTAAGTGAAAAATGAAAAGCTTTTCACACCATTAAAGTAACCAGATTCACTAACCAGACTGGTGGAATTTGTTATCAGCCTCCCAGTGGGGTTTTCTCTGAGTAAAACTTGATGTAATTTTACTTATAAACCACACATCAGGGAAAGGACTGTAAAGTCACACAAATCTAGGTGGCTGTCTCAACTTCCACCTACAAGTAGGATGGCCTTGAGAAAGTCACTTAGTTCTCAACCCTATCTCACTAATAAAATGAGAATGATACTACAAACCCAAAAGGCAACCAGAGCTTTTTTATATTAAGAGCTCAGTAAAGGCCCTTCCAGCCACTACCTGTCTGCACTCCCAATCTCCTCAGACCTTCCTCCTCCCAAAGGAACATAATAAAGGGAGCAAACATCTGGGCAATAATAGCATAATCCGACCAGGTATGTCTTAAGCACAGAAGACGTTAACAAAATGATATTTTAGGCTATGTTAATATACAAGAGAATAAGGGACCTATCTCTTAAATTCTTACCAAATATGAGAAAAGAACTGTCCAAATTGGAAAGAAGGAAGGCATACCCACAAAGATCTATCTAAACATGTTGACTAAAGTAAAATCTTATCTCCACTTTGACTGCATTTCAGTTACTTCTCAAAAACTTCTGAAGAACCAGCTTCATTTTGACAGTCTGACAGTTGGTGTTGGAATACACCTAAAGTTAGTTTGTAATTGTTCCACTTTAAAATGATAGCCAGGGGCGCCTGGGTGGCTTAGTCGGTTAAGCGTCCGACTTTCGCTTAGGTCATGATCTCGCGGTTCGTGGGTTCGAGCCCCGCGTCNGAAACTGCAGCCAATTAGTTTGCCTTGGTAAACTTGACGATTCATACGTTTATCTCATTTGTTTAAAAAGAATTCATATGGGGGCGCCTGGGTGGCTTAGTCGGTTAAGCGTCCGACTTTCGCTTGGGTCAGGATCTCGTGGTTCGTGGGTTCGAGCCCTGCGTCGGGCTCTGTGCTGACTGCCAGCTCAGAGCCTGGAGCCTATTTCAGAGTCTGTCACTCCCTCTCTCTCTGACCCTCCCCTGCTCACGCTGTCTCTCCTAGAAATAAATAAAAAATAAAATGATAGCCAATACAAAGATTATTCTATAGAGAGCTTCCACCAACAGCTCTAAACTAAAAATGTTTAGTCCACCAACTTAAAACAAAGCCTTCTAATAATTTGGACAAGTTGTCCTCTCTTTCTGGTGAGGTTTACTGTTGTTCTGAAGATGGAAATGAATGACCTCAGTGGAAATGTCCATTCAAGTGAAGTTGATATGCTGACCCACACTCCCCCTTACCAGATCCAGCTTTTATTCTACTAGCTGGCTTAGGTTTGGCTAGTTCTAGATGTGGCTGTAACTTAATTGACTCTACAAATAAGTGAAGTCTTCAAGTCATACTAGAAATTTCAGGGGAATCAACCTGAGGTTTATGGGGCCACCATGAATAGTTATAGCTTTTTACAGGTAGAAACTTAGTAGGAATTAGGGGACTCTCTGGGAATGAAATGCCAAGCTCTTCCTGTTAACTTTGAGGCTCCTGTAATCTACAAAGATTATGGCTAAAGTAAACAGAATCTAACATCTCTCCAGTCTTAATTTATCACTTTCCTCTAGTTTCCAAGAATTGTCTTTACCTGCCAAGCAAAAAATACACAATTTTCTTTTTACAATTTATTTTACAGACATTAAAATTGACAGGCCAAAAGTAAAAGGAAGGATAACAGAAGGCAATAGAGAATGTATTCCTGGATAGTCAAAACTGTAAACACTGCAATAGGTTTTTTGTTTTTACTGTTTAAGAAAATGTTCTCATATACATGGGTAACCATACCTGAAGCTTAAGACTAACATTTAACTAAAACATTTTAGTTAGTGACACTGCAGGATCTGGTTAAATTGGGTTGAGTTGTTTTAACAGTAAGAAAACAAAAGTCCTTTAACCATCATTCCCACAATGAAGCAATCACGGTGTATATCTATAATGGAGCTGGAACGAAAAGTTGATGTATATTCAGTGACTTCTCATCAAGAAAGAGTGCTTCAGGAGCTGGGCAGCAGAAGGTCGCTCGTGCTGGTCTCTAAGAAGGGAATAATATGTTAGAAACAGCACCCGATAAGTGCCTCCCAACTGGACCTACTTGATTCAAAATGCCAACTTAAAAATGGAAGTACAAGGGTGCCTGGGTGACTCAGTTGGCTCAGTGTCCAACTCTTGATTTCAGCTCAGGTCGATATAGCCCTGCATGGGGCTCGGCACCTGTTAGCTCTTGGGATTCTCTCTCTCTCTCTCTGCCCTTGCTCTGCTCACCCACACACTCTTTCAAAATAAATAAAGAAATGGATCCACTTACAAGTGCTCAGGGAAATAAAAATAGAAGCACAGTCTTGGCCAAACAGACTTGAGGTGAGTCCACACTTCAGTTTTGGTCCATATGATCTTACATAAGTGACACAAGGTCTTCTCATTAGTAAGATGGAGATAATAAAACCTAACTCATTGGGAGAGTTAGATAATGTACATACAGGTTTTGAACAGTGTCTGGTACATAGCAATAGCTCAAAAAGTAACTAGGCCCTACTTTTCCATTTTACTTTTGTTCAATTTGGGGTATAACTTACACAGTAAAATTCACACTTTTGGATGTACAGTTTAATGCACTCTTAATTTGCATTAAATTTACATTTAAAGTGTAGAGGCATTGGAATCCAGAATTGAAAAGCCTTTAAAAAGGAGGGATGCCTGGGTGGCTCAGTCAGTTAAGCATCTGACTCTGGCTCAGGACATGACCTCACAATTCATGAGTTTGAGCCCCACGTGCATCGGTCTCTCTGCTGTCAGTACAGAGCCCTCTTTGGATCCTCTGTCCCCTTCTTTCTCGGCCCTTTCCCTACTCGCTTTCTCTTTCTCAAAAATAAACATTAAAAAAAAAGCTATTTTTAAATGTTTATTTACTTCTTGAGAGAGAGAAAGAGTGTGAGTGGAGGAGGGACAGAGAGAGAAGTAGATGCCGAATCTGAAGCAGGCTCCAGGCTCTGAGCTGTCCGCACAGAGCCCGATGTAGGGCCTGAACCCACATACTGAGATGATGACCTGAGCTGAAGTCAGATGCTTAACTGACTGAGCCACCCAGGTGCCCCTAAAAACAAAATAGCTTTTAAGAAGTAGACATTTAAATGTGTTTTGGTTTAGGGGCACCTGGGTGGCTCAGTCGGTTAAGCATCCGACTTCAGCTCAGGTCATCGTTCTCACTGTTCGTGAGTTCTAACCCCGCGTTGAGCTCTTGAGCTGAAAGCTCAGAGCCTGAAGCTTGCTTCCGAATCTGTGATTCCCTCTCTCTCTGCCCCTCTACTGCTTATACTCTTTGTCTCTCAAAAAATGTTTGAAAAAAATGTTTTAATGTGTTTTGATGTTTAATTGAAATAATCCCATTGGGGCACTCTTGGATGAACATAAAATAACGGGAGACAGACACTTAGTACTATTTTGATTTAGGTTAGTTTTGGGGCGCCTGGGTGGCTTAGTTGGTTAAGCGTCCGACTTTCACTTAGGTCATGATCCTGCGGTTCGTGGGTTCAAGCCCCGCGTCGGGCTCTGTGCTGACTGCCAGCTCAGAGCCTGGAGCCTGTTTCAGTCTGTGACTCCCTCTCTCTCTGACCCTCCCCTGCTCACGCTGTCTCTCTCTCCTAGAAATAAATAAAACATTAAAAAAAAATTTTAGGTTAGTTTTCCTCAAGAAATTAAGCTTTTGCCAATGAACTAGTCAATGAACCAGTGAACCAGTCAATAGTTATCTGCAAGGACCTATTAGGCATTATTTTGGCTAAATTGGTTATCTTTTGATAATCTATGCGAGGGGGATTACTACCAGGAGTAGCCCAGGTGAAAATGGACATAAAAATAAAGTAACTATAAATCATTTTGAAATAAAAGCCCCCCCCCCCCGCCTTTTGGTGGCCCTTTCTCTTATCTTGAAAATATGCAGAAATCTCCCCTCTCTCCAAAGATTCTTTCCTTTACATGGCCAAACCCAGTGACTTTTTTCAACCTTTATTATTCTAACGCCTTACTCTCTGTCCCACTGCTCTCTAGAAATTGCCCTCTTAAAATTTACCGTGATCTTCTCATTACCAAGTTCAATGAGTTCATCCTCCTATCACCTCTAATAACATTTGAAGTGTTCACTACCCTCTCCTTTCAAAACAATCTCTGCATAGACTTAGGGGAAACTTCTCTTGGTTCTCCTGCCTTGGGTCAACTCCCTTCCCTCTTTCTTTCCTTCAGCCATGTGCTAGGCATAATGCCATGAAGGTTGTTACTTCTCCCCTGAGTATTTTCAAAAACGTTTTCCTGAGCCCTCTTAAATTGTTCACAACTATAGCTACCAACCTTAGGATTTCTAAACGTGTACTTCCAATCTTCCTTGCTTTCCTGAACTCCAATTCCATAGCTTCGAATGTTTCCTTAAATGGTGGATCCTCTGGGGCACCTGGGTGGCTCAGCCGGTTAAGCATCTGACTCTTGATCCTGGCTCAGGTCATGATCTCAGTTCCTGAGACGGAGCCCCACCTGGGCTTCAGCACTGAGCATGGCCCTGCTTGGGATACTCTTTCTCCCAATCTCTCTCCTTTGCCACACACCCGCATGCCTCTTCTCTTTCTCTCTCTCTCAAAATAAACATTTTTTTAAGTGGTGGATCATCTTCAATCCCCTCCCCTGCTCCTCTTTCACAACTTTCTACTATTTCTTCATTATCCCTACTCAAAACTATGCAGCCTTATCATGCCCCATCACTAAGTCCTGATTCCCCTTCCCCTGGAATGTTTTGGAACTCTTCTCTTCACAGTTCACACTGCTCCTACCACAAAGCTCTTGATTCCTGCATGGCCTTCTAGTCTCAAACAGCCTCCATTTGAGGTCCTTTGGTACACTGCCGTCTGACCTCCCTTCCCAAAGTCCATTTTCTTTATGGCATGATCTTTCCCAAATTCATTGCAGTCCCCTGCTCTTTGCTGCATGTTGCAACAAAGCTAAACTCCTTGGCCAACTTCCCCAAACTTTCAACCTGCCCATAGGAATACCCCCTCTGCTCCCCAAAGTTCATTTCTGTTCTATTCAGGCCTTGTTCCTTCTGAAAACCTAGTCATCTATACTTCCGGATCTTTAAGAATGCCTTCTCCCCACTTTATTTCTGACTATGCACACCTCCAAGGAATACTGTCACAGGGCAAGATTCTAGAATCTTTAGGGTCTTTTCCATAGAATTTCAAAAGATAATTTTATGCTTGTATGTGACACTAATTCGGTAAGATGTATTAGTAGTCTCCCAAATAGTTATTAACTATGGAGCCCTAATTATGTACCCCATACTCTGCTAAGTAATTTACATATACCAGTTCTGTTAACCCTCACAACAGCCCTATTAACTGATCCTTTGTGGTGTGAGTTGTTTATTTCTTAGTTTATGAAGCAATGGTTCAAAAGAAGAGTCATAAAAAAGATTTCACCCTTTCTCTTTAAATCTGTGTGTGTGTGTGTGTGTGTGTGTGTGTGAGTAATGATGACTTGAAAGAAAATGAAAATAGCATGTAGTTTCAGTGGCTCAATAATAGAGAACTGTTCAATTCAGAACAAAGCAACTATAGTAGTCTTAAGAGCTAAGACCAATCCTAAAACTAGTACTGGTTCCTATGACCTTTCTAACAGCTTTACATTTCTTTTGTGAGGTTTATTTTGGGTGAGCAAGGGGGTAGCTCTGTGCCTGGGGCTCTGTCCATACAATCCATGCTGGAACATGTCTACATCCAGGAATGCCCAGAACTGGAGTATGAAGTATGTATTCCTGCCTTGGCCTATACAATCCCCTGATATGAACCAGAACACTCTGACCCATGTGCTGGGAGAGAGAGAGTCTGCAGAGAGAGGCACATCTTTCAGCAGACAGGGAGAACTGTGGGTCCTGAGATTCATTAAAAAAGAGAAAAACCCATTTTGCAAGCTGGGAGGCACTAGAATTTTTTCATCTAGGAATAAGAAAGCACACGTCTCAGAAAGCAAGAAATTATTTTATGTCTCAGGCCGTCCTCACCCTGTACATATGACTAAATGTTGAGCCTCACCAGGGGCACAGAGGCCAGGTGGGTGGGCCCCAGCCCCTCCCTCTACTCTTTAGCTATCTCCCTCATCATACACATACAGTCATACTTTAACCAGAGCCATCCCTCCGCTTCTATGTTTTATTCTTTTCATTACAATTTCATGTGAGTAAAGAGTGTCTGGTCAAGTTGAAAACCACATGAGTGGGTAATCTCTAAGGTCCCTTTTAACATTTTACCCAAAATTTTATTCCATATATACTAGGGAGCATCAGAACAGGAAAAAACAAGCAACTTTCCGGGGGTTTTCTGCTTCCCCAAATACTCCACACACATGATGCATGAAAAGCTTCAATTAGATATTTGTTCCTTTGACTCAAAATGTTTCCTTTCATTTTAAATGCAAGTATTTTGGGGGCAGGGGGACCAAAACATTAAATTTGCCAGTCATCGATCAATTAATTCACATCAATCCCTCACTATGAATGAATTTCTCACATACCTTCCCGAGAGCTGGTTTTAGGAAGGAAATGAGACACTGGTTCTCGGATAGGGAAGGCAGCTCAGGAAAGGGAAATTTAAGGACAGGCAATGTCATTTCACCATGACCAGTACCTGGGAAGATGTCCCTCTCATAGCCATGTTCATACCCCCATTGATTTGGGGAAGTATTGTCTGTCTCTGATAAGTACTGTCAAACATTTAATTAAGGCACTTCCTACTTGAAGCATTACTCCCATACCCTGATGCAACGAGGAGCACAATCACCCAATATGGCTAATTATCAAAATCACTCCCTACTTGCCTTCTTTGTGGGCCATAAATTTCAGGGGAAATGTCAGCAATCTTGGAATCTCTGGGGATTTCTCTTCCTCCTGTTTTCAGTTTCTTTTCTTTTTAATTTTTAAAATATTTTGTTTATTTTTGAGAGAGAGAGAGAGAGAGAGAGCGTGAGCAGGGGAGGGTCAGAGAGACAGGGAGACACAGAATCTGAAGACAGGCTCCAGGCTCAGAGCTGGCTGTCAGCACAGAGCCCAATGTGGGGTTCGAACCCACAAACTGCGAGATCATGACCTGAGCCGAAGCTGGAGGCTCAACCGACTAAGCCACCCAGGCGCCCCTGTTTTCAGTTTCTTACCTGGTCAGGCACACACGCACAAAGTCCACTGCATTTTCTGAGAAGTGTTCTGGCAAAGGAGGCATCAGCCCTCGGTGTGCTCCAATGTAAAACATGGCTGCCATCCTGTCCATGGAAGCCAGTGGAGGCTTCCCTGTGGCCATCTCAAACACAGTGCAGCCAATGCTCCAGACGTCCGACTTCCTTCCATATCCAGACTCATTGATGACTTCCGGGGCCATCCAATATGGAGTCCCATGCATGGACTTAAGCATGTCACTGTGGGTGCCATTTAAGCCAGCCCAAGCCAAACGCTTGGCACAGCCAAAGTCAATTAGCTTTATTATTCCAGTTGGCATGAGCATAACATTATTTCCTTTGATATCTCGATGCACCACACAGTTCTCATGGAGATAAGCAACACCTTGCAAAATTTGTCTTGTATATTTACAGAACACCATCTCAGGCAATGGCCCAAAACGGTTTATAATACTAGAAATTGAGCCACCAGGAACAAACTCCATGAAAATGCTTACGATGTTCTCTTCCAAGCATGTCCCCAAATAGGCCACAATGTTAACATGTTTCAGTGCTTTGAGCAAATCTACTTCTTCCTGTAGTTTCTGGTATTCTTTTTCAGTAGCTAATTTATCAGAGGTATCCAAAGCCACCTGTTTTACAGCTATTAGTTGTCCTTGGCTAGTAAGACCGCAATATACCTAGAAGCAAACCTTATTATCAAACATAAGTGATAGAACTTGTTCACAAAATCCCTTAGGTGACACTTGTCTTTCCCTTCTCCTCCCAAACCCTGTCTTTCTCTAAGTTGATTCGTCCCTATCTAAATGCAAAGTACTTAAGCAAAGTCAATGAGCAAAGTTTCAGTGAGGCCAAAATGGGGATGAGAAGCATGGTCAATGGATATCATGATGGCTTGGAGTCTAGTGGCCTGGATTGGCTAGAATCCGGGCTTTACCATTCCCCAGCTATGTAACTTTGGGTAAGCTGTATAATTGGCTTGACTTCAGTTTTTCTCATCTATAAAACAGGAGTAATAATCCCTCACAGATATCTACATGACTACACTGGCAAAATCCCTCACCAAATAAATGAAACAGGGCTGTTTCAATGCCAAAGCTCTAAGGAGAGAAAGGAAGTCAGGTCCTCGGGCAACTTGTCAGTGATCCCATCATGTGTTTTCAGTGGTTTCATGTTTTCCCACCTTCTCGCTGATATGTCCCCAGCTAGAAACATAACCTATCTTCTCTGGGGATCAGTCTTCTTTTTACTGATCCATGTAAATACTATCTAATGTGCTAGGACCTTAGATGGTCTTTCATGCAATTCAAAAAATGTAAGGAACAGCTTTTGTTATGGCCACTCAGCAATGAGTCTCCCAACTTCTGGTAACATCCTAAGCTGTTGAACAATTAGACATCTTTCCCACCGGACTCAGACCCAGGAGAATGAAAGACTAGAAATACAATGGTCATTGTACCACCACATGAACCCTGAGAATAAGACCTATTAGGAGAGATACAAAGAGGCCAGACCCTGGTAACATGTCTGAAATCATGAAATCACCTCTGCCCAGAGCCAGACCTACTCCAGACCCTTCAGTTACATGATGCAGTGAACATCCTTTTCCCTGAGCCAGTTTGGGTTGGGTTTCCTGTTACTTCCAACTGAAAGAGTTCCAAGTAAAAGAGCATAGAGGGTGGGAAGGGTGCACAAGAGGATTAGGGAGGAAAAGGCAGGTCAAGGAGGAGTAGGGATTTGGGATTTCATCATGTTTCCCATTTAACTTACTGTGCCATAGGCTCCCTTCCCAAGGACCTCTCCCTTAGTCCACAGGATAGATTCTTCATACTTTAAGCTATTTTCAGAAAATGTCTTCTTTTCATTTGAGGTAAGAAATTTCTTCTCCTTGTCACATATCCCGAACCCATTACTATATCTCTGGGACAATGAGGCAAAAAGAAAAGTCACCATTAAACTCTGAGTCATTGGGGTAGGGAAAGGGGCTGCAGGGTAGAGTCTTCCTTTCTTCTAACTTGGGACCAACTAGAGAAAGCCAGATATGCACCCACTAAGTAATCATATATGATGCCACTTGTTAGCCTGCCTACAGCTTCCCCATGCCAAGAGTCTTCAATCAGGGCATACTAAAGCCTTCCCATTAGATTTCCCTTAGATTTCCTGCTAAGAATCTTGCCCACTCCTCTGCCTGCCTTTGAGTCTCTGCCAAACACAAGTGATGGTGGCTGACTCTTTAGCTATAGTAAGTTCTGAATAACCTTTGTTTGTTCTTCAATTATTTCCACAACACAAACATACAAACACACATGCAAGCCTATATGCATATACATACACATATACACTTACACACAAACACGTACAGATACTCTCTCACCCTCTCTCTCTCACAGCCTCGACAAGCAGGTCTGGCGGTCAAGACCAGCTGCAATACACAGAAGGTCCATGGTCAAAGGAGAATCTGCAGACAGGTGTATCAACATCACATAGGAGCTTGTTAGACATGCAGAATCTCAGGCCCCAGACATACTGAGTCAGTGTCTGCATTTTAACATGATTCCCAAGTGATTTGCATTCACATGAAACTTTGAGAAGCTCTGCTTCTCAACAAGAATCTCTTTGAAGAACTTAGACCATGTTTTCCAATTGGTTGATTGGACCAGAAATGCCTTGCTTTGATCTCTCCACAAGTTCTTAAAATGTCTGATGGTGACAGAGACATGGTGAGGTCATTGGAAGCAGGACTTCCTGCAGGGTCACCTTCATCATGAATGAAAGGGGCATTTGGGTTCCTCCTCCCTATCCTTTCATTGTTTCTATCCCAACTAAATTTTAAGGACTGCTTGGGGAAGAAAAGGCTGCAAAAAGTCAGTTTTGACCTCATCGTTGTAGGATGAGGTTACAGGCTGATGATATTTAGTAGCTTGTTAGGTTTTCTTAAATTTAAAATGACAGGGTGGTAGACTCATCGCTGACACACAGATGTCCACACACATATCCCCATTTCCTACCAAACCTGGAGGCCTCCCTGGATCACTCTCTACCCCCAGAAGAGACCAAATTCACCAGGAGGACAGGGTTGGCATTTCAGGACAAAGAACAATCTCACTGTGTCATGATTAAGGGTGTGTGCTGGAATCAGAATGCCTGTTCCCACCACTCTAGCGACTGTGTAACTTTCTAAGCCTCAAATTTCTCATCTGCAAAATGGGAACTTGTTATTACCTTTAGTACTTATCTCAAAGAACTGTTATGTAGCATATAAAGAAGACAATATAACATGCCTCACTCCTACATGGTAAGTTCTCAATAAACCTAGTTATGATATAACTATATACCTTATGTATCCTTTGATAAACTATCTAAAATAATTGTCCCTGATCCTGATATAGTCATACACGCTGAGTCAGTGTTCAATAAATAATATTTCAGCTAAGCCTACTGTTTCTGTCTTGAAAATCTGAGTAGGACAGGAGGCTCAAGTATTTCAGCGAGAATTGAAACAAACAAAACAAAACCCAATGATCTGTTGATATTCTTCTTCCCCACACCCACTTCCATGCCAAACAAACTTTTAAAACACTTCTCAGGATTGTTGCTTATCTTCCTAAGAGCAACGGCTAAGTTTTGTTCCCCATCATGTCTCTAGTTCTTAGCCCAGTGCCAGGAATACAGTAACCACCAATGATATTTTTGTGTTAAAGTTTTCATATTTCATGTCTTCATATGTTTCTTGGAATTAGGTGGTGATCTACTCCAGGAGCTATATTCAGTTCTTTCTATTTCACACACCACCTAAAGCAATGCTTTACCCATAATTACCTCTCTGTATTTATTGACTGAACACATATTCACCAAACAAAATATTGACCTACTTTAAATAAATAGTTTTGCTGTATTAATGTACCCAACGTAATTCCATTGCAGTGTCAGGCTAGCTGAACTCCAGAATGAAGGCAACATAATGAAACATCTTAGCCTGCAAGTCAAGTAAACTGGATTCCAAACTTGCAACCAGACAGTGAGACCTTGACAAAGCTCTTTAGTTGTTTAGGGTTTTGGATTCTTTGTTTGAAAATAAGGAGTTTTGTTTGTTTGTTTTTTAATGTAATTTATTGCCAAGCTGGTTTCCATACAACACCCAGTGCTCATCCCAACGAGTGCTCTCAAAAATAGGGAGTTTGAACCAGACTGTCTCTGAGGTCCCTTCCTGTCCCTAATGAATCACTGATTCTATTTATACTAACCTGTATTTTAACATTGGTTGTCTCTCCGCCCAATTCTTGTGTGGTTTGTCCTCTCCTACTGAAGACAAGATTTAGGTTTTCAGGATCTGTTTCATTTGCCATTATTTGGCAAGAGGCGTTACCTCTCTCGTCAAGAGCTAATAGTTCTGCAGCTAGACATCCTAATAGTTCATCTGTCAATTCATCATTCTTTACAGAATCCAGAATTTCTTGTGAAATTGAATTTGCATAACTTAAAGTTTGTCCAAATGTTTGATATGTAATTGATTCATTAGCTAAACTATCATGATCCAAAGAATGTGCCCAATGTTGATATGCTTGGGAAGATGCACTCTGTTGTTTCTCTTGGAAAGAGAAACTCATAAGTCTCTCAGACTTATCTAAAACACTTTTGAGCCCTACATCATTAGTTAAAATTTGGTTGGCATCTATTTTACCAAGAGATGCTGTATTCTGCTTTTCTTGCAGTACATGCTTGTTGGAATTCTCACTGGGCACTGCCCAGCTGTTTTCTGAAAGGACATATGGGGTCTGGTGATGTAGTTCTTCAAGTTTCTGCAGATCTCTGAGGCTCATGGCAAGTATTTGATTGTTAGAAATATCTCCTTCATCAGCAGACTCTTCCATAGAGACTTCTTCAACAGTGGACAAATCTGAAACAGGAATTAATTCATTCTGTTCAGTGGACCGTTCATGAGGCAGAGCCAAGTTCAAGGACTGAACTTCATCATTAGAAGAGAGAAAGTCATTTCCTGAAGACTTTATCTGCCACTCTGAACCTGAAGTATCATCACCATTTTCAATGTCTTCTAAGTTGCTACCTACAGCTTTGTAACCCTTTTCTTTAGAAATTAAAATTTTGTTCTTTTGTTTAATGCCAAGCGAAACCTTTGTGGGTTTAACATGTGGTCTTTTCTGAGAAAATCGTGTTCTGCTATTGCCACTCCTCTCACTGTGTGAAGATCGACATTTATTGGTAATACATCTGCCAGATGGAGCTGAGCATATCTCTCGATAATATTTGCTCTCATGACGTTCAGCCTCTCTCATGTGACAATAAACAGGGGTCCCAAACATTTCATAGATTCCAGGCCCATTAGCAGTTGAGTTGATTTCTTTGAACATGTCACTATACTTAAGATCTAGGTAATTTAGTCTTGGCTCTGTTGGTTGAGCAGAGAGAGGAATAGAAGACTTTTTTATTCCTGGATTCTTACCAATGCAAGGAAAAGATTGCTTTTTAGGTTTCAGAGCCCGGTAAGTTGATTGCTTCTTTTCTGTCTGTGGCATTCTCCGCTGAAACTTGGGTGGTTGCCGATGTCTGGGGTCACCAAGCTCCAAAGCAGGGAAAACTGGAGTTTTTATGCTGGTTTTATGTATGGTAGGCTTAATGGAACCTTCAATGGAAATCATGAAATTCTGGGGTGTCCTATTACTGGTCTTAGTCTTTGACTCCAACTTATTTCTGGGGTTTTTCATCTTATGCCTGTCATTTTCTTGATGTGCAAGGATATTGAAGTTATTGTTGCTGGGAAGAGTGCCCTTTCTTTTTTGGAGGCTTGGTTTGGCTATCGCTGGTTCCTTGGAAGTTTCATCTCCAGGGAAAGTGATGTGGATAAGAGGCACCATCCCATTCATTTCCGGTTTGGTTGCCTCTGCCCCTGACATTTTTATGTTTGTCTCTGTGCATCTCGGACCTTGTGGGAGCTTTTCAATGGGGCCATCAGGGACTACGTTGGACAAACTCTTAAGGACAGTATACTCTTCTAAAATATGATTTGGCTCAATTGCTTTACCTTTATGTACTGAAGTACTTTTTAAATCAGGCTTATCATTTCTAGTCAATTCATCCTGACTTAGAATATTTTCTGAAAGCTGGTCTTCTTGGAACTTGATTGGCATGGCACATCCAACTTCAAAATTTATAAACACGTTTCTGGCTACTGAATCCTCTTTCTTTCCTGGTGAAAGATGTTGAGAATTCTCTTCTGCTTTTCTCATTTCACAACCAAGGCAGTCAATATCCACTTCCCTATCTGTGGGAAAACTGCTTTCCTTACAATTCTCAAAGGACACGAAAGATTGTCCTTTCTCAAAGTGAGAGACTGCAATTTTGTCACTTCCTTCTGTTTCCTTGGACTTCCTGTTCTCCATCTCCATGTGTTGTCTGTGATGGTTAGCCTTCCAAAAAGAGCACATGTTTCTGGACCAAATAGAGCTATCAGAGGACCTGAAAGTCTGATCCACAAACACCTTAAACAGAACTTCTTCCTGCTTGTTTGATGGTCTAAACTCATCAGATTGACTTCTGGGCTCTGACAGCTTAGGTTTGCAAGATACAAAATTCAGAATATTTCTCTCTCTCTCTTTTTGATCCTTGTGATTTTGGGGGACAGTATGAAGACCAGGTTTCATGGGCAAAAGTGATAATGGTGGCAGAGGGAACTAAAAGGCAAGAGAAAACACTAATGAATGCAGAAACATACATGCATATCATGTTAATTGGTTTAAAGTAATTCAAAGAGATTCTAAGATTCTCTTTAGGGGGGGCTATCTAGAGATACAAGGCTATCCTAGAGATCTCAATTAAAAAAAAAAATAAAACCTCATTCCCAGTACTTTTGGTAAAACAGTACTTTTAAAAACCAAGATTACTGGGGGCACCTAGCTGACTCAGTCAGTAGAGCATGTGACTCTTGATCTTGGGGTCGTGAATTCAAACCCTACGTTGGGTATAGAGATTACTTAAAAATAAAATCTTTAAAAATGAATAAATAAAAAATAAAACCCAAGACTATTATAGATATAAAGATTCATGTTTATATATTCAAAATAAAGGCCCTACAATGTAAACATTAAAATTTAAGATCAGACATTTTATTTATCTTTTCTTTTGCTTTTCCTTTCCTGAGAATTGATCTAAGATTTTTTAAATTCCCACTTAGAACGGCTTAAAATTTCTGTTACATTTACCTTAACAATGATCGTTGGCTTACAGACTAACTCAGAATTTGTATCTGGAACACAACTACTCCATACTGTTTTGCTGAACTGCTTTGTAGGGGTGTGATTATAAACATGCCACACCATACACCTGAAAGTTAGCAACCCTCAATGGTGTTACTTCATCCTCCAAACTACTTTCAAATTAAGTTAGTTTTTGTTACCATTAACCTCTAGAGGTCAGTGTAACGCAATATATATAATTCAGCTTTCTGCTCATTAAGCTATAAACTCTTAAGTTTTTTCCATTGTGGCTTTTTCCTGTATACAGATTTGATATCTAATTATATTAGAATATTTCTTAAATTTATAAATGTTTTTATTTATTTCTGAGAGAGAGAGAGAGACAGCGTGAGCAGTGGAGGGTCAGAGAGAGGGGAGACACAGAATCTGAAGCAGGCTCTAGGCTCTGAGCTAGCTCTCAGCACAGAGCCTGACACGGGGCTTGAACCCATGAACCATGAGATCATGACCTGAGCCAAATTCAGACTGAGCCACCCAGGTGCCCCTATATTAGAATACTTATGAGCATGGTAATTGAGAACTATATGTTCACTTTTCATTGTATTGCCACCTGTGTGTAAGAGAATAGGAAACTGACACTAGAGATTTAGGCGTTAGAAGTAAGTAAAATGCAGTGTAATCTCCCAGTTTTATTGCCATGATGATTTTCCATCACTGAAAAATAACTTTGGAAATAGAGATTCTGCCAGTGCCTGAATGTCTCCCTAGTAGCAGCCATTATTTTTTTTCAAGGCTAATAAACTGCCTTTTACAACACTAAGCAGGACTCATGCACTTTCTCAAAGGCTCATAGGATACAGAAGAGGCAGACAGCTGAGAGGTTTGCAAGAATCTTTCCAAAAGCTGTACTTACTAATAAGACAATTGGGAAAATCTTTCTACCACTGGAGAAAAATTTTACCTAATTTCTAGACATGTTAAAAGAAGACAAATTAAAATATGTCTTAAAAAGTTACTCACCTCATTATGTAAAGAACAGAAAACAACCCAGAAAAGATATGTACATGGCAAAGAATAACTCTCCCAGAAGTTATTTGTGACTCTACAAACTATATGTTGTTTTCCAAGCTGAGGATTTTGGTTCTGAGTTCTTTCTCTATCAAAGATAACAAAAGTTCTTGGTTTTAATTCTTAAGTCAGAAATGCTAAAACTAATCTTACCTCAATTCTTCGGCTACTATACTTCATATCAGAAGTAGAAAACTCTATAACAAGAAAAAATAAAATAATTAGATACTCTTAGTAGTAGAGTGAATACAGTCAGCCTTAAGCCCAGAGTTTGGAGATGGAGTGATCTTGGTGCTAAGGTCTGAGGAAAAGTTAAAATTAAGAGTTTTTCCTGTTGTAATCCATATGGAGTTGGATATAGAATGATTACACGAAACTTTAAGCTACTGCCACTGAAGGGGGTTGCTGTTTTACATATAATGTTGTCTTTTTTTTTTTTTTTTTTAAGTTTAGTTACTTATTTGAGAGAAAGACTGACAGACAGACATGGAGGGGCAGAGAGAGAGGGAGAGAGAATCCCAAGCAGGGGTTCAAACCCACGAACTGTGAGATGGTGACCTGAGCTGAAACCAAGAGCCAAAAGCTTAACCGAATGAGCCACCTAGGCACTGCTATAATGTTGTCTTTTATATACGGTTGACCCTTGAATAACACAGGTTTGAACTGTGTGCATTCACTTCTATGTGGATTTTTTCAATAAATACAATTCAGTACTGTAAATGTATTTAACCCATAATTTTCTTAATAATATTTCCTTTCCTCTAGCTTCTTTATTGTAAGAATACAGTACATAATACATGTAACATACAAAATATGTGTTACTTGACTGTTTCTGTTATGGATTAGGCTTCCAGTTAACACTAGTAGTTAAGTTATACATGGATTTTCTACTGCACAAGGTCAGTGTTCCCAATTCCCACATTGGTCAAAGGTCAACTGCAAATGTATATTATATATAACACTTATGTACATATGTTTATGTTTGTATATTTACACTTACACTCATACTCATAATTATATTTATGTTTATATTTGTATTCTGGTAGGAATTACAAGCTTTCTGGACCATAGAGCAGAGTATTTATTACTCACAAAACAGCACAGCACTAGCTTCCCACACCCCATTTCTCCCCACAGGGCAACACAATGAGCACCAGATGTTTACCTGTGGGTAATCACCACAGGAGTGAACCCTGAAATTATGAGACTCAGAAATTATATCAAGTGATTTGCACTCCAACTCATCCTTCTTTCCCAATAAAGAGAGATCTTTACTATGAAAGGTAAGCAAATATTTCCTGGAGAAAGGGGAAATGTGTTTCTGGGTTTTATAACTCTAGAATGTAAAAGAACAGCTCCTGAGGAAATAAATGTCTGAATCTCTCTGGAGCAATACATGAACTCTAATTTCTAAGACATGTTTATCATTCAATAATCTTTTAACCTAGTTTCCTAGCACTTTTTGTTCACAAAGCTTGGATGTACAGGCATGTGAAAATATTCACATATAACTGTCTCCCAACAGTTGTTTGAGCTCAAACATGAAATAGATCATAGATGGGATATACTAGGTAGTATAAAACCTGGTTGTTGTCCTCTTACAAAAAACCCCACCCACAACCACAGCTTGAAGTTGAAGTGAAAAGCTCCCATGTGTCCACATAGATAGATGAAGTGGGGCCAGTAGACAGTAAGCAGTGAGCTGAACTTTGTGCCAGAACAAAAGGACACATCCTTTTTTACCCAGTCCCAGGTGTTGTCCATCCCAGAAGGATAATCTAATACTGCTAGATTCTCTAACTGTCAAGAGAAACCAGAGAGCTTGAGACATTATGTGAAATTTCCCACCCACCCCCTTTTTTAAAGTGCTTTGAAGGCCAAACAAAATGTATCACAGGTCCATTCTAGCCATAGGCTGCCATTTTGAAATTTGACTTTGAAACAGACCTCTCTAACATGTAGCACAGGTAAAGAAGACATTCACAGGGGAATGGTACCTAAGAAGATACTAATAGGAAGGATTCGAGCATTCCCCTTGGCCACAGCTAGCAAAGGCACCTCCCCCCAATTCTTTTGCATTTAATCAACAAATAATAATTGAGTGCCTAATGAGTGACTGAGACTGTTCAGAAGATGGCAATACAGTTGTGAGCAAGAAAGACACAATTTTTGCCCTCTAAGGTCATATTCTAGAGGTTGAGCTTTCCTTGTTGAAAGGATGCCGCAAGTTAATACCAGAAATTCAACTGAAGGGGCTCCTGAGCATCCGACTTTTGCTTAGGTCATGCTCTCACACTTGGTCAGTTCAAGGCCACATTGGGCTCTGTGCTGTCAGTGCAGAGCCTGTTTGGGATTCTCTCTCCCTCTGTCTCTGCCCCTCCCTTCTTTTTCTCTCTTTCTCAAACTAAATAAATAAACTTGAAAAAAGAAGAAATACAACTGAATATAATGTATAATTGGGTGCATATGTATAACCTGATTTAAAAAAGAAAAAAAACCTGGGGCGCCTGGGTGGCATTGGACTTTGGCTCTGGTCATGATCTTATGGTTCATGAGTTCAAGCCCTGCATCAGGCTCTGTGCTGACAGTTTAGAGCCTGGAAGCTGCTTCAGATTCCGTGTCTCCCTCTCTCTCTGCCCCTCCCCGACTTGTACTCTGCCCTGTCTCTCAAAAATAAATAAACATTAAAAAAGGAGGGTTCCCCTTTGAAAAAGAAAAAAACTTTCAAGTATTATAAATATTTGGATACATATTATCCAGTGTTGGTAAGAAATGACATGAGGTAAAAAGAAACTCAAACATTTCTGATGATAATGTAGAAGTGAGATCTTGGTTATGGGTAATTTGGCAATATAAGTGGAAAGCCTTTTACAATGTGTATGACATTCCAGTTAAAAGATCAAATGCACCAGTTTTTCGCCATTTCATAAACCTCCCTAAAATGATAGTAAAGGCAAGTAAAAAGGAGTAAATTAAAAAGGAAATTAAAAGCCCAGAGGATGAGACAACAGATAAGTCAAGTCAAAAAATTTTGGATGGTGAAAATTTTATGATGAAAAATAACTGATTAGCTGTCATGCTTCTCTGTTCTGCTCTGTGCCTGTGGGGGGAGAACTTGACAAGAAGTAAGAACTCCAGAAAGGAGCAGGAACTGATGATACCAGGTACCTCTGAAGGTGAGGAGGAAGCTAAGACGGAAACCAGGGTTTGCTTGTAAACCTGCAGAAGAAGTAGTTCGCATATTCCCTGTCCTGCCCCATGAATCAGGAGTTGCTCTTCTCCATTCCTGGCAGCTGGCTGGAAGTTTAGTTTCCAGAGAGTTTGGAACAAAGATGCTAAGGAGATAGGTATAGCTGAGAGTAGAAACAGGATGCTGGAGTGAAAATAAAAGGATTAAGTGAAAGCCTGCACATGGACAGGTGAGTCTCAGCCTTTCAACCCACAGTCGGGAGCTTGGATTATCCCTGCATAGGGAAAACTAGCTAAGAGAAAAGTCTGTCTATGCACAGTGACACTTGGGGACTCCCTCACTCAACCATCTAGGTCATTCTATGCAATCTCCCTGGAGTCTGCAGCATGTTTTGGTGCTACCAAGAAACACAAATAGTTTATCACACAACAATAGATATGTGAGAAAAGTCTCTAATGTGAGAATACAGAGTATGAAACAAAAAGAATTCAGGAGAAACAAAGACAATAAAAAATTAACATGAATATACTTCATGCGCCTTTTCTCAGGAAGCTACTGGAAATGTACCCAACTAAGTACCCTACCCATACAGTTTCTCTGCTGTGCGATCTCTGTTATTGCAGTAAGCCAATAAATGTACCTGGTTGGACCACCAGTTTGTCCCCAGAGGGCTTAGGCCAGTTGGTTTAGGACAGTAGTAAGCAAATAGCAAAGACAGCAATGCCTGGAGGGGAATGTGCTAGCTACTGATCAAGTGTTGGGCTAGAGAGAGTGGCCAATTCAAATCCTAGAGGAAAGCATCCTCCATGTGAGCCCCAAGATTCCCACAGGTAAACATCAACTAAATGGGAGTTTGTGGTAAAGATTTTTCAAACACTCAAGAAAAGGATAGATGGTAGATAGATAGATAGGTAGAAAATTTGTTGACAAAAGGATAAACAAATCACTGTAATTAAATGAACTCACCTTCAGATTTTCTTTGCTGCTCCTTCAGAAAGTGAGGAACATCTTCTCTGGCTACAGATGTTGAGATGCTTGGTTCTAGGCAAGGTCTTGGAAACAAAAAGCCCACCTTTGCATCACAGAGATCCTTGGAAATTTCCTCTTTCTTCTGACCCATTTTCAGTGTCTTTGATCGGAAGTCTAGCATGTGAATTTCATTTGGAAGAGAAACAGAATGTGCTCGTGCCCTTTCTCGATTCACTGGGGTTATCTGACTAGAAGGGAGGAGGACATGGTTTCATTCAAAACTCATTCCCTGATTCTTCTGGATCTCCACTTCTCTGTCGAGACTGAGATCATGAGAAAACCTGGAGAACTATTTCCAAATGCTGCTGCTGAGTGGAAGAACTGTATTCTTGAAAGGACAAGACCCCTCTACCCTCCTACCCGCTCCCCACCTCATCTGTCTTCTGCACTCCACAGGTTAGTTTCCCCAGTCCCTATTTCCTTGAACAGAGAAATCAGATGGGCAAAGTGCAGGCATAAAGGATGCACTCTTTTCCTTCTCCAAAGGTTTTACCCAGCCCAGTACTTCTCAAAGTAAAAGACAGTAAAAGACCAGTTTAAAAATTTTCCAGTCCATTGTGGAATGCAAGTGTTGTAAAACATCTGCAATAAAAGTGATTTACCATAAAAATAAAGCAAAATATCAAAAACATGAACATAAACCCCAAGATTTTTATTATCAGATCAGTAAACCTGGGATTACTTTGTCATATAGTAATACAACTCTTTAAATGTTTACATTTTCGAGTTCTTTGTTTTTTTAATATTTTTATTTATTTCTAGGAGAGAGAGAGAGAGAGAGAGATAGAAAGAGACAGCGTGAGCAGGGGAGGGTCAGAGAGAGAGGGAGTCACAGACTCTGAAACAGGCTCCAGGCTCTGAGCTGGCAGTCAGCACAGAGCCCGACGCGGGGCTCGAACCCACGAACCGCGAGATCATGACCTAAGCGAAAGTCGGACGCTTAACCGACTAAGCCACCCAGGCGCCCCACATTTTCGAGTTCTATCCTGACTTCATCATGGACTGGTAACAGAAGGACCACAGAGTCACATTTCAAGTGGCACTGCTGCAGAGTCAGCAAACTGTGTCCCCCCCCCCCCCCACCCAGGGCAAAATCTAGTCTTCAGTCTGTTTGTGTCGTTTTATTGGATCACAGCCATACCCATTTGTTTTCATATGGTCTGTGATGGCATTCAAGCTACAATAGGAGAGTTGCCTCATTGCAGCAGAAGCCATATGGCCTACAAAGCCTAAATGGTATTATTTGGCTCCTGCCACAATAATATTTACTACAACCCCTGCATTAGAGTGTTTTTTTGGGAGGTGAATTACTAAAAATGTAGGTTATCACACAAGTATCACTTCATATTTAAATTTTAATCTAACCTTTCAAAGTATATTCCTTACTTGTTTTCTTGTAAATCTTCTCTGCTTATTTCTTGGGGATAAGTGGCATCTCTTGGAAAAGTAACAATAATCTCAACACCTATAGAAACACATGACAATAACAAAAAGAAGAAATTTATGAATTCCAATGGCAACTGGGAACTGAGTATTTTATTTCTCATTATGTAGCTAATCTATTTTTTAAAATGTTTATTTTTAAGAGGGAGACTGTGCGAGTGGGGGAGGAGCAGAGAGAGAGAGGGGGACACAGAATCTGAAGCACGCTCCAGGCTCTGAGCTGTCAGCACAGAGCCTGACGCAGGGCTTGAACTCACGAACCACAAGATCATGACCTGAGCCGAAGTCAGCTACTTAACTGACTGAGCCACCCAGGTGCCCCTAGCTAATCCATTTTTGAACAATACAGAATGTGGAACAGAATAGAGAGCTCATAAATAACCCACAATTATACAGTCAACTAATCTATGACAAAGGAGGAAAGAATATGCAATGGGAAAAAGACAGTCTCTTCAACTGGGAAGTGTTAGGAAAACTGGACAGCTACACGCAGAAGAATGAAACTGGACCACTTTCTTAACACCATACATAGAAATGAACTCAACATGGATTAAGAACCTAAATGTGAAACCTGAAGCCATAAAAATCCTATTGGAGAGCATAGGCAGTAATTTCTCTGACATCAGCTGTGGCAACATTTTTCTAGATATGTCTCCTGAGGCAAAGGAAACAAAGGAAACTATTGGGGCTACACCAAAACAAAAAGCTTCAGAAGAGCAAAGGAAACCATTAACAAAACTAAAAGACAAGCTAGAGAATGAGAGAAGATGTTTGCAAATAACATATCTGATGAAAGGTTAATATCCAAAATATATAAAAAATTTATAAAACTCAACATCTGAAAGCAAATAATCGAATTAAAAAATGACAGAAGACATGAGCAGACATTTGTCCAAAGAAGACATACAATGGCTAACAGATACACGAAAAGATGCTCAACATCACTGATCATTAGGGAAAGGCAAATCAAAACCACAATGAGATATCACCTCATACCTGTCAGAATGGTGCCTGCCAAAAACACAAGAAATGACAAGTGTTAGCAAGGATGTGAAGAAAATGAACCCTCCTGCAGTGTTGGTGGAAATGCAAACTGGTGCAGCCTCTGTGGAAAAAGTACGAAGGTTCCTCAAAAAATTAAAAATAGAGCTATCCTACAATCCAGTAATCACACTACTGGGTATTTACCCAAAGACTACAAAAACACTAATTCAAAATAACTTATGCACCCTTATGTTTATTGCAGCATTATTTATTATTATAGCCAAATTATGGAAGCAACCCACATGTCCACTGATAGATGAATGGATAAAGAAAATGTGGTATATGTACACAATGGAATAGTTACTCAGCCATAAAAAAAAGAATGACAGCTTGCCATTTGCAACAATATGGATGAATCTGGAGAAAATAATGCTAAGTGAGTCTTGAGAAAGACAAATACCATATGATTTCACTCACATGTGGAATTTAAGGGGGAAAAAATTAACAAAGAGAAAAAGAGACAAACCAAAAAACAGACTCTTAACTATAGTTAACAAACTGATGGTTACCAGAGGGGATGTGGTGGGAAGGGTGGGTAAAATAGGTGATCGGGATTAAGAGTACACTCATCATGATGAGCAATGAGTAATATATAGAATTGTTGAATCACTATATTGTATACCTGAAACAAAAAAATAATAATAATAACAAAAAAATTACTGAATGGTATCAGGGTAATGCTGGCCTTGCGGAATGATTTTGGAAGTTTTCCTTCCTTTTCTATTTTTTAGAATAGGTGGAGAAGAACAGGTATTAACTCTCCTTTAAATGTTTGATAGAATTCACCTGTGAAGCCATCTGGTCCTGGACTTTGATTTGGTGGGAGTTTTTGATTACTGATTCAATTTTGGTTTTGGTTGTCAGTCTGTTCAAGTTTTCTATTTCTTCCTGCTTCTGTTTTAGGAGGTTATATGTTTCTGGGAACTTATGCATTTCTTCCAGATTGTCCAATTTATTGGCATATAGTCTTTCATAATAGTCTCTTGTAACTATTTGTATTTCTGTGGTGTCTGTTTTACTTCTCTTCTCTCATTTGTGCCTCTATTTTACGGGTCCTTTCTCTTTTCTTTTCGATAAGTCTGGCTGGAGGTTTATTAATTTTATTGATATCCTCAAAGAACCAGCTCCCACTTTCATTGGAAATACTAATTCAATGGTGTATATGCACTCCAATGTTTATAGCAGCATTATCTACAATAGCTGAATTATGGGAACAGTCCAAGTGTCCATCAGCTGACGAATGGATAAAGAAGATGTGGGGTATAAATTACTGACATGTACTGTAACTTTACAAATTAAGAATAATGGTCATACCTTAGATTTTTAGGATGTTAACTAGTCTTATAAAAAGGAAAATGTTAATTGGAATTGAATTAATGTGCTATAAAATGCAAGTAGCAATGTCAGAGATCTAAGACTGAGGACTCAAAAAAAGTACAATATATGTACTGTCAATGCCTTTTTGTTTAACCATTTGTCTAATTATTTCATTTTAAACACGATATATCTTCTATGGATACAAAGTAGACATATTAATCAGGTGACATTGCTTTATTTGGCTCTGTAGATGTTGTTAATCAGTAATTAATTTCTGTTGCAAAGAATCTGTTAACAAATCCTGAACTCATGTCTGATGGAGAAAAAGAAACCCTGACCATATTTTTATACTTAAAAAAAAAAAAAAAGATGCGGTGTATGTACACAATGGAATATTAGCCATAAAAAATGAAATCTAAGGGTACCTGGGTGGTTCAGTTGGTTGGGTGTCTGACATCAGCACAGGTCATGATCCCACGGTCTGTGGGTTCAAGCCCCACATCAGGTTCTATGTTGACAGCTTGGAGCATGGACCCTGCTTTAGATTCTGTATCTCCTTCTCTATCTGCCCCTCCCCTGCTTTTGCTCTCTCTCTCTCTTTCTCTCTCTCGCTCTTGCTCTCAAAAATAAATAAACATTAGAATTTTTTAATTAAAAAAAAAGAAATTGTGCCACTTCAATGACCTGGATGGATCTACAGAAAATAATGTTAAATGAGAAAGACAAATACCATATGATTTCACTCATATGTGTAATTTAAGAAACAAAACAAATGAGCAACGGGAAAAGAAAGAGAGAGAGAGGAAAACCCAGAAACAAACTCTTAAGTATAGGGAACAAGCTGATGGTTAGCGATGGGAGATGGGTGGAGGGTGGGTGAAATAGGTGACAGGGACTAAGAGTATACTTATCATGACGAGCACTAAGTAATATATAGAATTGTTGAATCACTCTATGGTACACCTGGTACACTAATATTATATGTGTGTTAACTAACTGGAATTTAAATTAAAAACTGTAAAAAATTACGGAAGGGACATTAACCAGGGACTGAGGTTCAGCCATCTTTATATTTTCCCTGCCTAGCATATGCTTGCTTAAAGAGCAAAAAATATATATAACAAAACTTTTCAGATACAAAATTAAGTTTTATGATGAGCAATGTTTCTCTTTAGATGGAGAAAACAAGCCCTCCTCCTATATATTGTAACTAATGATACCTACTTCACAGGACCATTGTGAGATTCAAATGAGATAATTTATGTTGCCCCACAGGAACTTGCTTGTATATATTTTGGTCAACTTCTTTCTGATTCCATGGAATGATTCCGAGTATAACCCTTAAGCCGGACATTTCCAACTTGAGGTATCAATGCTTGCTTATCATATAACATGTTAAATTTGCATTTGAAAAACTAGTGTGAGCCATGCCCCTTAAGGTTTGTTCATCTCTTCATGTTTTTCCATTCAACAAACTTTTTTTTTTAATGTTTTATTTATTTCTAGGAGAGAGAGAGACAGTGTGAGCAGGGGAGGGTCAGAGAGAGAGGGAGTCACAGACTGAAACAGGCTCTCCAGGCTCTGAGCTGGCAGTCAGCACAGAGCCCGACGCGGGGCTCAAACCCACGAACCTCGAGATCATGACCTAAGCAAAAGTCGGACGCTTAACTGACTAAGCCACCCAGGTGCCCCTCCATTCAACAAACTTTTATTAAATATATGCCAAGCCCAACTCTTTGTGCTGAAGATACAGAAATAAAAAAGGTGCAACTGTGACCTTAGTAAAGACCATAAATAAGGAAGTAAAGAGTATATCAATTTAAACATTGTGATGGGGGGGGCCTGAGTGACTCAGTCAGTTAAGCGACCGACTTCGGCTCAGGTCATGAGCTCACGGTTGTGGGTTCCAGCCCCGTGTCGGGCTCTGTGCTGACAGCTAGCTCAGAGCCTGGAGCCTGCCTTCAGATTCTGTGTCTCCTTCTCTCTCTGACCATCCCTTGCTCACACTGTCGTCTCTCTCTCTCAAAAATAAATTAAGATTTAAAAAAGAAAACAAAAAAACCAAAAACATTGTGATAGAACTGTACAAACGGTGTTATGGGAACACAGAGGTATATCCTTTCCAAACAACCCAGTGCTTGTCCCAGTGTTCAGTCCTATCCATGTATTTCTCAGGGCCGTTTAGGGAGTCTCCCTATGTCTAGGGAATCTAAGATTTTAATTAGTCCTACTGACAGAATGCTAAGGAAGAAGTAAAACAGAGAAGATAAAAGGGGGGCATGAATCAGACAGAACTGGATCTACATCCATCTTCTGCTTTTTACAGGTGACCTTGGGAAAATTCTAAACAATCTAGCTTTGGTTTTCTTGATGTTTTTCAAATATGACAACATGATTGGATGCTCTCTAATACTATAAAATAGCAGGAATCACATCTCTAAAAATGAGGTTTCCTTGGAATGGTCAAAATATTTTTTAAAAATTTTCAAACATCCTACCAACACACTATTTATCAGCACAAAATAAAGGTTTGGAATTGCAGAGTTGGAAAGAACTTAGAGATCATCTGATCCAAGCCCTTTATTGTATAGACAAAGAAACTGATAACCATGAGGTTGTGTGACAGCCTCAGGGCTGCTCTCATACTTGAAAGGAAGATGGATGTCTTTCATAATATTTTAGTAGCCATCTTCGAGTGCAAAATCCTAGGTGACATGTTAAAGTAAGAAAAACATACAGCATATGCTCCTAACAACTTAAGTGTCAGTGAAAAGGATATTCTATACAAAGGCTAGCTGTAGTTAGTACTTTACTGTGGAAGCTGGAAAACTGTGCACAGTGTATTCATGTGAACACATTCTTAAGAATGACTATACTTTTTTTAATTATTGAGAACTAATAAACCTAGAATGTTTTAAAGCAAATTTAATGTGTTCAGTAGTTTGTTAATTGGTTGATTTCTTTTTCAAACCAAGGAACAAAAGATACAATAAGCAAGTATAAGAAATACCTGCCCTTCACAAAAACAGACACATAGACCAATAGAATAGAAGAGAGAACTCAGAATTGGACCCACAAATATATGGCCAACTAATCTTTGACAAATTGAGAAAGAGTATCCAATAGAAAAAAGACAGCTTATTTCTTTTTTCTGGGAGAACTGGACAGCAACGTGCAAATAAACTTTCTCACACCATACACAAATAAACTCAAAATGGATAAAGGTCCTGAATGTGAGACAGGAAACCATCAAAACCCTAAAGGAGAAAGCAGGAAACAACCTCCTTGATCTCAGCCGCAGTAATTTCTTACTTGACACATCCCCAAAGGCAAGGGAATCAAGAGCAAACATGAACTGTTGGGACCTCAACAAGATAAAAAGCTTCTGCTCGGCAAAGGAAGCAAACAATAAAACTAATAGGCAACCAACAGAATGGGAAAAGATGGTTGCAAATGACATATTGGATAAAGAGCTAGTATCCAAAATCTATAAAGAAACCACCAAACTCCACACCCAAAAAACAAACAACCCAGTGAAGAAATGGGCAGAAGATATGAACAGACACTTCTCCAAAGAGGACATCCAGATGGCCAACAGACATGAAACGATGCTCAGTGTCCCTCCTCATCAGGGAAATACAAATCAAAACCACACTGAGATACTACCTCATGTCAGTCAGAGTGGCTAAAATTAACAAATCAGGAGACTCTAGATGCTGGCAAGGATGTGGAGAAACGGGCACCCTTCTACACTGTTGGTGGGAATGTAAACGGGTGCAGCCCCTCTGGAAAACAGTGTGGAGGTTCCTCAAAACATTAACAATAGAACTCCCCTATGACCCAGCAATAGCACTGCTAGGAATTTACCTGAGGGATACAGGAGTGTGTGTAGGGGCACATGTACCCCAATGTTCATAGTAGCCCTCTCAACAATAGCCAAAACATGGAAAGAGCCTAAGTGTCCATCAATGAACGAATGGATCAAGAAGATGTGGTTTATCTACACCATGGGATACTACATGGCAATGAGAAAGAATGAGATCTGGCCATGTGTAGCAACGTGGATGGAACTTGAGGGTGTTATGCTGGGCGAAATAAGTCAGGCAGAGAAGGATAGAAACCATATGTTTGCACGTATAGGTGGATTAGGAGAAACTTAACAGAGGACCATGGGAGAGGGGAAGGGGAAAAATAGTTGGGGAGAGGGAGGGAGGCAAACCATGAGAGACTCTTGAATACTGAGAACAAACTGAGGGCTGATGGGGGTGGGGGAGAGGGGAAGGGGGGTGATGAGCATGGGGAAGGGCACTTGTTGGGATGAGCACTGGGTGTTACATGGAAACCACCTTGACAATAAACTATGAAAGAAAAAAAATAAAAAGAAATACCTGCCCTTGTGGAAACTGTTCAAAGCTAATGGCCCCATCCTAGGGGTGCCTGGGTGTCTCAGTCAGTTGAGCATCTAACCCTTGATTTTGGCTCTATTTCTCTCTCCCTCTCCCCCTCTCCCCTGGTCATGCTCTCTCCTGCTTCCTAAAATTAAAAAAAAAGCTAATGGCCTCATCCTAGTCATTGGTTATAAATGGGGGGCAACTCAGAAATAAATAAAACATTAAACAAACAAATAAATAAATGGGGGGCAAAAAGGTGAGAGACTGTGCTGACTCTGAAATCAACTGGAAACATACAAATGTTCTCCATTTTGTCTTTTCTTTTGAATGTGAATGGTCATGGGAGCCTCTGAACCTACCAGGTTCCAGAACTACCAGGGAAGATGATGCACTGTCACATGTAAAAATAAAACACTTGCTCCTGAGTGCATCTTTCCACATAAGAAGAGGTAAAGTAGCCCCACCAGAAATTTTCACAGTAGAAAGAAATTAAGAAGCAGCACTTAAATATAGCCAGAAACAATTTCACAGATGAGGTGAAAATGATATTCAAAGTGGGAAAACGATCCTTAATTTGTTCATGTTAAGCCATTATTAAAATGAAAACTGAAAACTGGCCCGGTCTAATTCATTCAATGAAGAAAAATTATTGCTTCCAAGACAATCTCACTTTCCTGTGTTTTCTGCTTGTTCTGTTTAAATTGATAGGCATCAAAGTTCAAAATATTTTGATACCCTCTCCACATTTTTATAATTTCTTAAATCGTGAATCTCAACACAGATTTTTTTAAATGTTTATTTATTTTTGAGAGAGAGAGAGAGAGAGAGAGCATGAGTGGGGCAGGGGCAGAGAGAGGGGGAGACACAGAATCCGAAGCAGGCTCCAGGCTCTGAGCCATCAGCACAGAGCCCAATGTGGGGCTCAAACCCATGAACTGCAAGATCATGACCTGAGCCGAAGTCGGACACTTAACCAACTGAACCACCCAGGCGCTCCTCTACTCTCTTTTAACACTTTCTTCATTTCTAACTCAACCAGAGTAGATTCTGTTATCTGAAATTAAGAATCCTGAGGGATACACACTGTGTTAAAAAAATGTTTTTAAGCCCAGTAATTTTAGGTAATAGATTCTTATCCATTCATGAAAAGAGTAATTTTACATGCTCAATGCAGTCTATGGTGTTTGCATCCGATAATCGTTCTAGAAAAATAGCTGAGTGAGGAATGCAAGAAGATTTTTATACTAAGGAAAAGGATGAGTGACTCTTAGGGGGCCATAAATTGTATTTTACAAATTATCATCCATAAAAGCCTATAATTAAGCCAATGCACACAGCAGGAATACTCAGTTGTTAAAGACTGTGGGTGTGACCCAAACATTATATATATTTTATTGATGCTCCTTTTTGAATAGAATACAATGAATAGAGATAAATTAAACAATTAAATGTGTATATCTGCAACAGAATAGATACTCATACAGCATATGCATAAAGTTTTTATAACATGTGCAAGAATGTAAACATTAACAATTTCAAGTATGTTAGAAACACGTAAATGGGGTTTCAAGAAATTTATTGATACTTAAGATGAATACAGTGCACAATAGTGCCCCAAACGTTTATATTTTGGACTTGTGACTTAAGAGTAACTACTAAAGACTATGAACTATGAGAAGAAAATTAATCAGACACATCATTGTTTCTTTCGTATTTGTAACTGAAGTTATTAAAGCTCAAATTTTAAACAAGAACTTAGTGGATATGCTACATAAATGCTATGGCTCCTATACGAACATCTTCTACTATAAAAAGTTATAAATTATTTAAAAAGAATTAATTGCACCTCAAATGGCAAGTCATGTCTGAACTCAGTAGAAATAAACAAATTATTTAACCTCTTGGACGGTGCTTGGGATACATCTATTCCTAAAACTCTGCTTTGAAGCAGTTGAAAGTCAAAGTCAGACCACAAGGGGTGTTTGGAAGGAGGCCAGGATTTTTAAATTTTAATTAGGATTTTCAGGTTTCGTGGTGTTAATTATTTCAAATGTTACTAAATTATTCTCTGCCCTCAGCCTGGAGAATGGAGATTCCAAGTGAGTTTGAGAGAGGCAGGAACTCCCCAGGAGAGGGCAGCATCACATAAGGCGACAAAGGAAATGGCTCGGACAGCACTGCAGCATTTGGGGGAGGTTGACTGGGTTATGGAAGAAAAGACATCCAAGAGGACCACCTCCCTGGGGTGTTAGAAATGGAAGTCAGAAAATTGCCAGAGAGAAATTGGAACAGTGATAATAAACATTTAATTTATGAAATTTAGGGGTGCCTGGGTGGCTCGGTCGGTTAAGCATCCAACTTTGGCTCAGGTCATGATCTTGCAGTTCATGGCAGCTCAGAGCCTGGAGCCTGTTTCCAATTCTGTGTCTCCCTCTCTCTCTCTGCCCCTCCTCCACTCATGCTCACTCATGCTTGCACGCTCGCTCTTTCTCTCTCTCAAAAATAAAACAAATATTTTTAAAAAATTTTTTAAATAAAAAGTTTGTAGGTGAGTAGGTGACAGATCATTGTGATTGCTATGGAGACTATTTTCTCAAGTGAGAATCTGCAAATACCTTGTGGTCTGTTAAATGAAAAGGCTTTTATGGATATGACAGGATAACATATTTGGAATGGGTGTTGTTCTGGAAAATTCCAGACTTATGTACTCATAGAATAAAGGACTGAGACTTGGGGCTTTAGCACTTTGTTCAGTCTCCCATCTTTCCCTGAAGAGAGGAACTCAGGGATAACAGCTGATGGAGAAATGCTTGGTTCTGGAAGAGAACAGATCCCTGAGGCTGATGGAAGATTCTGAGAGGAAATAAACAGAGGGAAAGATGTTATTAGAGAAAAAGGAAAGGGGCAAAGGATGGCTGCTTGAGCTAGAGCAGGGTGGAATCAATAGAGACATAAGAGAGACAGCCATTTGGGCCAACAAGTTGCCAAGAATTGCTGATTGAGATAAGGACTAAAGGATAGGATGACAAGCAGCTGTTCTTTTCCTTTGTGCTGTTCTGTGTTTTCAAGGTTCTGCACCAAGCACTACTAAAATTGGGGTGGTGGCAGGAATCCAAATAATCAATGTTAGCTTTGTGAACGTCTCATGGACAGAAGCCAGATACCTTCTATCCTGGGTTGCCAATCTTGTCCATCACCACTTGGGTCTCCTCCTTCACTAAGCAATATGGAACGACTGCAATCCTCATCTTGGTCAAACTCCTGCAATATCAGGAAATAGCAACTCAGTTATTCAATGTATTTTGTTGACAGAGTGAATATCCATTTTTCTAAGCCAAAGTTTCACACCGTGGATTCCTTTTAAATTGTAGAAAGTATTTAGGACCAAAATAATGGGAAAAGTATCTGCTCCTGGAGCACCAGGCTCAGACAGATGTGGACATGATTAATTGCATAATTGAAAATGAAGATCAAAGCTGAAACCACAGAGACACATAGAGACTTAGTATTTTATACCTTTTATCATGTCAGTGTCCAGGCTGCTAAGCTGCCACAAATTTCATCTGGGTGGGTAACTGGAAAGAACCCGTTGGCCACAGCAGTGAACAACCCCAAAGGAACATGGTCTTTTCCATAATGCCTCCCTGGGGCATCATTCACAGTTGGTGAGGGTGGAAATCCCTGTCCCATATGGAAGCTACAGATATAACTCTGGACTTAAAGGAGGCAGCAAGGCTGATTAAACTTTTCAGTATGATAGCTTTCTGATCTAATGATGGTGTGCAACTTTTCAGAGGAAGTACTTCCTTTTTACCCTCTAGAAAATAATCATGATGCTAAAAATATAACACGGTTGAAAACCAACTTGATTTATGAAAAGTACTCCTAACTTTATAAGTAAGTTTTCCTTATTAGAATTCATTGTTGTTGATAGGTTCCTTCAGGAGAAGTTGTTGCTGCTGGTGATTTTGCCCTATTTAATGTCTCAAACAGTGATAGATGCAAATATTAGTTAAAATACCCCATTATGCCCCAGAAGTTACAATTAGTTCTCTGGTTTCTATTTTCTGTTATCTATTATCCCTGTTGGATAAAGTCTATGCCCTAGACTGAGATGCCTGTCATACAGGTGGGAAGTCTACCATTCTGATATTTCATTCATTCATTCCCAGTCAAGCTTGGGAAACTTTTCCACTTTGTTCATTTTAATTATCACAGAAAATAGTCAAAATAAAATCCTCTATTTACGCTGCCATTAAATACTTTAGGTATTCAATCATAACTTTATAGTCTTGCCTTTTACACAGCAGCAGTACCTGCTTTTTTAAAGCTTTTTTTTTTTCCTCTGTAGCCTCTATGCCCAATGCAGAGCCCAACCTGCAGCTTGAATTCATGACTCTTGATCAAGATATGAGCTGAGATCAAGAGTCCGACACCACTTTTTAAGCCACCCAGGTGTCCTTTTTTAAAGCACTTTCTGAGGTTCCTGGGTGGCTCAGTCAGGTGAACGTCTGACTCTTGATTTCGGCTTAGTTTATGATCCCAGGGTTGTGGACTGAGCCCCACATCAGGCTCTGCACTGAGCATGGAGCCTGCTTAAGATTCTCTCTCTCTCTCTCTCTCTCTCTCTGTCTCTCTGTCTGTCTCTCTCTCTCACTCTCACTCTCTTCTTCTCTCTCCCTCTGCCCCTCTTCCCTGCTTGCACTCTCTCTCTCTCTTAAAAAAATTTTCTTAAATAATAAAGCATTTTCTATCTGTTGGCAAAGGAGATACCCTGTCTCAGATAATCCCGGTTGTCAGTGGCAAATAAGAGATGGAGGCTGGTTCACCCTAATACTAGACTTGTAGATTTCACTGCTTGCTCTTCTCTGCATTTCAAAAATTATACCACTGTGCGGCAAATTTCTTATCCTTCCCATGCAATTACAATGGGGAAGGGGGTACTGTTTTTAGACTATATACAAATACAAAAAAGCATTTTTAAAAATGCACTAGAGGTGTGCCTGGGTGGCTCAGTCGGTTGGACATTGGAGATCAAGCCCCATGTCTGGCTCTGCACTGGCAGCATGGAGTCTGCTTGGGATTCTCTCTCTCCCTCTCTCTCTGTCCCTCTCCAATAGCACTCTCTCTCTCTCAAAATATATAAATAAAAATTTTTAAATGCCGTAGGAAAAAAATTCCTGTCAAAAAAGCAAACACTATTAACATAGAAATAATATTTCATCTTTTTCTCTAAGTATTTAAAAATACAGTTGCATCACATATTATTTTATCCAGCTTTCTTGCTTAAGGCAAGTACAAATTACATAGCAATTTACTAAGTAAACATTATTTTAATGTAATTATAATTTCTTTCCCTCAGTAAATATCTATCAGAGGGTCACAATAATGTTTAGTAAACCCCATGAGTCTTACAATAGAAGCCCCATCGTGTTTATTAGTCTGGTTTTAATTCTTCATTATTACACATAGTGCTGTGGACATCCTTGCAATTAATACCCCAATTTTTATTATTTCTTTAGAGTAGGTTTCTAGATATGGAATTATTGATCCAGAGAGTATGAACATTTTTAAGTTGTTTTACACACATTACTTTAAAAGTAAAGTTTCCACTTAATGCTTACACTGTACCAGCAGTGCATGCAGGTGTTTCACTACATCTTCTCCCTGATTTATCAATTATCATCACTTTTCATTTTTAGTAATGTAATGTATGGAAGTGGTCATCTTTTTGTTGTTTGAATGTACATACTGTGATCAGTAGAAAAGTTTGGAGATAGTTTCACATGTTTATTGACCATTGAATTTTTCCTTCTAATAGATGCAGTTTTTGTTCAGATTCTTAGCCTGGGACACTGTATGAGACCTCAAAATATATTCTATCATTTCATATAATTACAGGGATTCAATTAAATTTTTATGACAAACTTTGGGAAATAGCAACCTTCATGTGTCATCGTTAATATACAACTGGGGGTGTCTGGGTGGCTCAGTTAGTTAAGTGTCCAACTTTGGCTCAGGTCATGATCTCATGGCTCGTGAGTTTGACCCTGCATCGGGCTCTGTGCTGACAGCTCAGAGCCTGGAGCCTCCCTCAGATTCTGTGTCTCCCACTCCCTCTGCCTGTCACCTGCCTGTGCTCTGTCTCTCTCTCAAAAATAAATAAACATAAATACATATACATACACATATATGTATCTATATCTATATATACATACACAACTAGTTCTCATGTCAGGTGTCTATGTTGATTAATAAGCTGTGATCAGTCACAACCGCTCAGCTCATTCATTAGTTGGTCCTTTAGGAAAAGTTGAAAGATGCAGTGTGGGCACACCTACCTAGAAAAATCCATGTTGATGACTAGCATCTACACATGTAGTGTCAGACATTCCTCTATGCAACTTATACATATTAATTAATTTAATCCTCACACCGACTCTAAAGGTAGGAATTACTGTTTTCTTTTCACACGTGAGGCCAGAGAGGTTAGCCAGTGGTAGAGCCAGGATTCACACCCAGACCCTGAAATCTGGTTCCAGAGGTCTTAACCCCTCTGCTTTCTTGCCACCATGAAAAGTTTGAAACAAAGAATCTCAAAAAGAACCAGAAAGAAAAGAATCAATGACAGGAAGCAAAATTAAGAGAAAGGATACTGAAACTTAATTTATAAGTTTTGCATGGGAAAAAATAAAAGCTCTGCGAGTGTCTGACCAAAATTTCTTCAACAGAATAAACTGAAAAACTGTAAACATCACACATACACAAAAGGATGTAGGGAATAATACATGTCTTGAAGGATTATCACGGAAACAAAGACTTTAAAACAGAAACAACTCTAGATTTTCTAATTTATTTTAGAATGTTAAATATGAAAGACTTTAAGATGTACTTGGGTGCCACAAGGACAATTGAAATAATGACACTCAGTCATGAGTGAAGGAGAGAAAATAATAGAATAGCACATCCCCAGTATAAATGGATTTCATAAGCCACTGACAATGATGCAGGAGGCAACAATACACTAGAAAAAGAATACAGCATTCTAATCTGCAAACAACAGAATCCCAAACATACAGAAAAGAGGCATAGAAATCATATGTAATTAAATTTGGAAGGAAGATTCTCCTTAGATGAAAGAAGATCGGGAGAGGCTGTACAGTCTCTCAGAGGCACTCCTACAATCGAGGCAGCTGCTTATATTTGTAAACTATAAAAACCCATTGCAGACCACCAAAAAGAAAAGCTTTCATTCAAAGAAAAGAAGTGAAGGATGACCTTGGGTTTTATAATTTAAACCCTAGAGAAAGCACTAAAGAGGAAAAGACAAGTTCAATAGTCAGATGCTATTTCTCCCTCAGAAATGAGCTCAAAGTTATTTCAACCATAATAACAAAAATACAGAGTCAAGTTTCAATAAATGTTTTTAAATTGGATGAAAAAAATGTACTAATATAAAGGGACGTTTAGTCTTTTTACAAAAGAAAATTACTTAAATATGCCATAAAAAACAAAAAACAAATGTGTTTTTATCAATTTCTAATGCATGACAGTCACTTAAAAAAAAGGTTTTTTAAACATTATTTACCTTTGAGAGACAGAATGTGAGTGGAGGAGGGGCAACAGAGAGGGAGACACAGAATCCAAAGCAGCTCCAGGCTCTGAGTTGTCAGCACAGAGCCCAGGGCAGGTATGGAACCTACGAACTGTGAGATCATGACCTGAGCGGAAGTCGGATGCCCAACCAACAGAGCCACCCAGGCGCCCCAGAAAGTGAATCTTGAGCAGACTCCATGTTCAGCACAGAGCTCAGATGTGCACTCAATCTCAGAACCATGAGATCATGACCTGAGCGGAGATTAAAAGCCTGATGCTTGACACTTAATTAGTAGAGTCTCCCAGGTACCCCTCCATTACTTTCAATTTAAGTGTAGCATACTCTCAGAAAGTGCACAGATTAATGAATTTTTATAAACTGAATATAATTGTGTAACCAGGACCCAGATCAAGTAAAAGAATTCTTAGACATGATGCAAGAATTAAGACCCATAAAAAATAGATCAATTGATTTTCATCAAAATGAAAAACTTGGGGCAGCGGGCACTTAGGTGGCTCAGTCAGTTGAACATCCAGCTCTTAATTTTGACTCAGATCATGATCTCACAGTTCATGAGATCGAGCCCAGTATTGGGCTCTGTACTGTCAGCATGGAGCCTGCTTGGGATTCTCTCTCTCCCCCCTGTCTGCCCCCCTCACTTGTTTGTGCTCTCTCTGACTAAATAAATAAATAAGAAAAATTTCTGTTCAATGAAAGACCTGTTACAAAGGTGAAAATAACAAGCCAGTTCTTCTTATTGACTAATAGAAAATATTTGCAAATCACATATCCAGAATATATAAGGGATTCTTTAAATTTAACAGTAAGAAAACAAACAATCCAATCAGAAAATGGATAAAAGTTTGAACAGTTTATGCTGATGAGGAATAAATTCATGGAAAAATGATGTTCAATATCAGTCATTAGGGAAATGAAAATTAAAACCACAACACAAGGGGCACCTGGGTGGCTCAGTCGGTTAAGCATTTGACTTTGGCTCAGGTCATGATCTCACTGTTCGTGGGTTTGAGCCCCATGTCAGGCTCTGTGCTGACAGCTAGCTCAGAGCCTGGAGCCTGCTTCAGACTCTGTGTCTCCCTCTCTCTCTGACCCTCCCCTGCTCACACTGTCTCTCTCTCTCTCTCTCTCTCTCAGAAATAAATAAAACATTTAAAAAAACACACACACAACAAGGTACCATCATACATCCACTAAAATGGCTAAAATAAAAAATACTGACACTGCCAAACGACGGCCAGGCTACAGAGAAACTGGATCTCTCTTCATTGTTGGTAGGAATAAAAAATGATGGAGCCACTCTGAGAAACTGTTTGCCAGTTTTTTAAAAAGCTAAACATACATTTACCATATGATCCAGTAATTGGATTCCTGGACATGTATCCTAGAGAAATGAAAATGTATGTTTATATAGAAATCTGCACACAATTGCTCCTTATATGTAATAACCCAGAACCGGAAACAAGGTAAAAGTCTCTCAAGAGGTGAACAGTTAAGTAAACTGTGAACACCTGTGCCATGGAATGCTACTTAGCAATGTAAAGAAACTTGATACAACATGGATCTATCTCAAAAGCATTATGCTGAGTAGAAAAAGCTAATCTCAAAAATTTATACATATGATAAATCCATTTATATGACATTCTCAAAATGATAACATTATGGAGATGGAGAACAGATCAGTGGTTCCCAGGCATTAAGGAAGCGGGAGAGTGTGGCTATAAAGAGGTAAGGGGTAGGGTAGGAGGGGATTCCCTTGCAGTGACAGAACAACTTTGCATCTTGATTGTGGCAATTCAAGGGATAAATGTCACAGAACTGTACACTCATATACACACAAACAAAACATGCAAATACTAGTGAAATGCCAACAAGGTCTGCAGCTTAGTTAATTGCAATGTGTCAGTATCAATTTCCCAGTTTTGACAACCTGCTGTAGTTATAATAGCTCCCGTTGGTGGAAGCTGGTGAAGGTTACACAGGACTTCTTTGTACTATTTTTATAAGTTCCTGTGAATCTATAATAATTTCAAAATAAAAAGTTTTCTAAATTAAATTTTGTTTTTTTTGTTTTCTTTGTTGTTTTGGGATGATTTTTGGAAGGAGAAATGAACTAAAAAAAAAATCTTTACTTCACCATCTCCAAAAGTCCTCATTATCATTTGTATTATAATCCATACCTCAATAACTTTGTTAAATAAATAATTTGTGGCCATATTTTTTCTTACCAACAAAATATAGGGTAGGAAGACTTTTAACTGTCTGGGTGATGTTAATTTTTTATGTTTTATTTTATATTTGAGAGAGAAAGAGAGAGAGGCAGAGCACGAGCAGGGGAGGGGCAGCGAGACGGAAACAGAATCTGAAGCAGGCTCTGAGCTATCAGCACAAAGCCTGATGTGGGGCTCGAACTGATGAGCAATGAGATCATGACTTGAGCCGAAGTCAGACGCTTAATAGACTGAGCCACCCAGGTGCCCCAGGCCTATGCTAATTTTTATAAAAATTCACAAGGTACAAACGGATACACAAGGCAAAGTTCATCTCCAGTTCTCTCCCTATAGGCAACTTTTGTTACCATGTTACCAGTTTGTTGTTTATCTTGGGTATTGGTCCCCAGTTTTCTATGGATTACATTGTTTGTTATTAGTACTGTTACTGTACTGTGAGGGACTTTTTGTGGAGTCATTCATCATGGGCAGGGGGTGACCGGGGCCAAGAGGAGGCACCTTCTTTGTGATACCCTGTGATGGATTTGACATGATCAGATAAATGATCTTCTCCTTTTCCACATTAACACACATAAACACAAGCTGCATTTTATTATTTAGTATGGGTTCAACTGCAACAGTATTCTGTGGCATTAGATATATGCACACACAAAATGCAGGAGACTCTGAGCTGACTAGCTAATTACTGCTCTCAGATTAAGCTTATGGAGCACTGTCTTAATAATTTTGCTTTTAATTACTTTATGATTACATTTAAAAATGAATTGTAATATATAATTGCTATAAAATATTTAAGCAACACAAATGAAGTAGTAGATGGAGTAGGTTATCCATTCTTTGTTAGTTTCTTTTTTTATATAACTTTATTTATTTATTTTGAGAGAGAGAGTGAACAAACAGGGGAAGGGCAGAGAGAGAGGAAGAGAGAGAGGGAATCCCAAGCAGGCTCTGCACTGTCAGCTCAGAGTCCAACACAGGGCTCAAACTCATGTGACCTGAGCTGAAACCAGGAGTCCGACACTTAACAGATTGAGCCGCTCAGGCACCCTTTTATGTTAGTTTCTTAAAAGAGAACATCTTACCTCACTGCTGCTGATACTTTGCAAGGTTATATTTTGGTTTGTAGTAACTGCCATCATATCAGTGGGAGAAGAGTTAGTATCATGACAAATGTCAAGCAATGATTCAGCATGTCTTTCTGGCAAAAGAAACAGAATAACGTGTTTTGATAAGACTCATCTCTATCAATTTCATCGGAAGATCTAGCTCTAGGTTCTAAAATCGGTTCCATTTCGTCAAAGATTTTCCTAAACTAGTGGTCTGGGATCCTGATGAAGCTTCAGGTAATAATTTTCACAGGGATGGATGTGAGTGAAGAGAACAAGAGACCACAGAATGGATGAGTTTTTTGTTTAAAAGAAAAAAAAAAAAAGGTTAGGCAAAGCTGCCAAGTGAAACCCCTAACAATGGGCTGGAAATAACATTTGCTCTATTGTTACCAAAGACAAGACTGTCCGGCACTTGAAGCTGCATTAAATTGGCAGAGTTCTGAGCACAAATGAACTCCCAGTTAGTTCCTGGAGGACACTGCTCTCCTATCATCCCCCTCCTGCTACTGTGACTCTTCAAATCAGCACGGGCTCATCGATGAAAACGTCTTCCTCTTCCAATGGCTCTTCCATTTATTTTGTAACTGATAAAAAATTGCGCAAGATTATCTCTACTCAGATCGTCCATTTCATCACCATATTCTCCTTTCTCACTCCCTGAAATCTATTTCCTGTCTCTAACCCATTATTGAAACTTCCCACTTCCTTAGCACATCTCCTTTGTAACCTCTTTTCCAATTTGACATTGTTTCCCTCTCCTTGTTTCTTGCAACTCTCTCCCAATCCCCTCCTCCCTCTCAGCACTCCAAGTTGCCGCGTACATACCACCCTATAACTGCGGGTACACGTCCTTGGATTGGCCCCCTACAGATCTCCCACCATCCTCAATCTACTCGTGATCTTACCCACTTCTAGGACCTCACAATCTCCCTTTTGTAATGAACTCCTGAACTAACATACCAACCCATCCCTTCCCACAGTTCTGTCCGACAGACACTACTTGCAAGTCCCAAGGTTCTATCCAAATGCAATGCTTTAGAACCCATTACCTTTTATATCCTCACCAAATCAGAGTGGTCTTCTATTTTATTGATTGTATTTCCACCTCCCCACTTCCCAGGGCTGAAACTTTGGAATCAAATTTAACTCAGCTCTCTCAAGGTTTGTCTTTGTCAGCTTTACATCACTAAGTTCTATGAATTCTTTTTCTGGCTCACCACACCCAGCACCTGTCAGGCACTCTCCCACACCAAGCCCAGGACTTTCCTCATCCCTATTACCACATACAGGCACTTCTACAGTTTCTTAATAGAGCTCCCTGCCATGATTCTCTTCGAGTCCATTCTACACCACAACAACAGCTTAATTTTCCTAAAGCATGGTTTTCATCATTCCCTGGCTTAAAATTCTTTAGTAACTCTATTTTACTGAGAGGAAAAATCCTTCATTTAATGAGTTTTCAATGGGCTCAGTTTCTTTATGTATTTAACCTCATGTATTCCTTTTCACCAACACAAACTTTCTAGTCTCTTCTTTGCCCCAATGATAAGTGAGGCTCACTTACAGCACAATGCCTTTGCTCCCAAAATTAAATCACATTGTTTTTCAAGGACCAGATTGAGTCTTACCTCTTTCATGATACCTTCCTGGGAATAGCTTTGTTCCCTACCTAGAAGCTTCTAATAAAAACTAATCAGACAATAAAGTCAAGCAGCTGTCACAAGGTCACACGTTGCAAAGTGGCATTTTCTTCATTTCACTTCTCTCTGTGGCTGTTTCTATGTCTTTGTTTTCCACCTATATCAAACCTTCTCTCTTAATACCCAGCATTTAAGGAACATGGTAAGACCCCTTGTCCTCTTTCAAGCTCACAACAACCTCTTTGTCTACTGACTTACGTGTCCCCGACCCTATTGAACACTTTCGGGAGTTTGGACCATGTTTTAGATTTCTTTACAACCCTAAGAGTACCTAGTCATGGACCTTGTATATAGCCACCACTCAATAAATAATTGTTGGCTTGATTTCTTTAAATGAATCCATCAAACACATGTAGAAAAAGAAAGATTTCTAATAAGGCTTTTATAGTTTGGGCATTTTGAAGGTAGAATAGAAGTACTTACCTGGTTTTGGCATAGAACTCATTAAAATGTCCAATAACTGCTGTTTCCTAAAACTCTGTATTTGTGACACATAATATATTGCTGATTTTCCACTGAAATCACAGAGTTTAGGATCTCTAGGAAGAATAGAATTAACATAAAAATTATTTAGTTAAATCTATTGAAAACATATGAGAGAAAAACATTGACATCAAATAAATAAAAGTAATCATGTACCTTGGGGCTAACAAGAATAACTTCAAAGTGTATGTGATGGAAACTCTTAATTTTTCAAGATTTTTAGATAAAAGGAATATGCTGTATATCTTATTTCCATCCTAAAACCATTCCAATATTTGCAAAAATGTCCAACTTTGAACCATACTTTTCATAATTCTTTAATGATGAATAAACATCTTGATAAGCTATTGTCTTATTATTCCAAATATCTGACCTGATTAGCTTTCTCTTTCCAATGATTTAGCTAACTACTTGCTTTCTTGATAGTTCTTTTTTCCCAATGCTAACAGCTAGGCTTTTTGCCATCCAAAATAGTACAACAGCAAGAATCTCTCTTGAAAATTAAGCTGATATGCTTATTTCACAGGGGCTTGGTCAAGTGGAGCAATCTTGTCATAAAATCCCTCTGCATGATCTTTTCATCTCTCTTTGCCTTGCCCTGTGATTGTTAAGTCCAATTGACTGATCTTAGGGCTCCTTGCAACAGCACAAATATTCTCTCTATGTTGTGCTGAATTCTAGGATTAGGTAACAACTCAGAACGATACAAGGGGCCAATAATAAGAGCCCTATTGACAGATTATGGTGAGCAAAACAATGATGACACTTGCTGCACTAGTCACATTCTGGGACAAAGAACACGTTGAGCATAGTCTCCAACCTAACAGCTTTGAATTTGAATCTCTTTATTGCTTTAAGACAGGAAGATGTTTTGTCCTCTGCAAAAATAACCCCTTATGACCTTTTCTCCATCAAAGGTCATGATTCAAAAGCAGTAGGATAGGACCAAGAATCAGGGAACTGCTCCTGCATTGATACGTGGCCTTAAGCAAGTCACTTAACTCCTTGGGACTTCAGTTTGCTCATTTGCCTTGATTAGTGTTTCTCAATGTGGCATTTTTGATTTCCTGTAATCTGGACCCCACTCCAGGCCTACTGAACACCATCTCGGAGGTGGTGTCTGGTACTATCCATGTTCAACAATCTCCTTCGTTGTTTCTTAACACTAAAGTGTAAAGTAGCTTCAAACTTTCATCTTAATACCATTATGCTAACTGATCCTTTTACAATAGCTCATGTTCTTGACTATGCTTTTGTTCTTGAAGCTCCTTTTTCCTTTTTTTCTCTTTCGAAAACAAAATCCATATGAAATTCTGAGAAAGAGCTGGCCACCTGTTACTATTGGATGATAAGATATCTAGGTAATAGCTTTAGGAAACTGCAAGTCTAACATGAAAAACTGCTTATTTTTTTTAAAAAAACTGATTTTTTAAAAAAGCTAATTGTTTACTTCCCCTTATCCTAAAAGAACATGTTGGCATACAGTAATTTTTAGATAATTGGAAATCACTAGTATAAATTGCTTTTAATAACTGACAATGCTTTCTGAAATAATTAGTAACATCTTGGGGGTAAGGAGCTACATACTCAAGAACTATTTGACATTCTAAAAAAAAAAGAAGAAGAATTATTTGACATTCTTCATAAGTACCAAAAGAGTATTTACACAAATAAAACAAAATAGTCAATATCATAAGAATAATAGATAGCAACATTTAACATCTGTACATCACTTTGCAATTGCTTAAGTCCCTTTTATGAACAATGTATGTACATTCAATATATGAAATTTTTTAAAGATTTTATTATGAAGCAATTTCTACACCCACTGTGGGACCTGAACATACAACCCTGAGATCCAGAGTTGCATGTCTGTAAAATTACAAGTGACTTCTGACAATAACAATGACATAGACTCTCTTCCACTGGTGCCAACTGACCACTCATACTCACGCATGATGCCTGAGGAGCTGAGACAGAACCTCCACAGGTCTGTAGTCTGTTAACATATCAAGACTCTCAAACAGATCCACATCCCTCACAGCCAGCATTAGAGGGGTCAAACCATGTTGGTTTGGGAAATTTACATCCAGGAACTCTTCAGATGCCTTTGAAAACATGAAGCGTTATTTTTATTATGGTTTTATTGCTATTACGTTTTTACTATTTATACTAACCTTTGCATTTTCCTTGCTTAGCCAAATTCTCATTTTAATTTTAACACATTCGTTTTTTTTAAGTTTATTTATTTATTTTTGAGGTGGGGGGAGGGGCAGAGAGCTGGAGAAACAGAATCTCAAGCAGGCTCCATGCTGTCAGCACAGAGCCTGATGTGGGGATCTCACAAAGCATGAGGTCATGACCTAAGCCAAGATGAGGAGCCAGACGCTTAACTGACTAAGCCACCCAGGCACCCCACCGTCAACACGTTCTTTCTCAATATCTATATTGACAAGAAGCTGATGAATTGAAAGAACACAGGTCTGAGAGACAGACAGACCCAGGTTTGAATTTTACCTGCTTAGGCTCATTATTTTACCTCCCTGATAGGATTATATCAAGGGCACTTGATAAGATCACCCTGGTAAAATAAAGGATATCCAGTTAAACAATAATTTTTACTGGGCACATAGTAATACTAAAAAATTTATTTGGTATTTATCTGAAGCTCAAATTTAACCAAGTGTCCTGTATGTTTGTTTATAAAATCTGGCAATCCTACTCACTGACTTTCAGATCCTCACTTCTAGAGTAGGAATAAAAGTGTCTTCTTTGTGAGGTTGTTTTGATGATTGGTGATAGAATATGAAAAGCACTGAGCAGAGTGTTTTACACATGCTCAGTAAACATTTCTGGAATGAATGAACGAGTTAGAAAAATAAGGGAGGTCATTTAACTATATATTTAGTCAAATGCATGTGGATATATCGATAATATTCATTGTTTTAATGAAAGTAACATTTAATTTGGATAATTCAGAACTGAAAAACCACTGTTTTATTATCTGAATAGGCCAAATTATCCGAATCATTTATTTTATTGACCAAAATAATTTGCTACTTTCCATCTTTATTTCACTTTGTGCCACGTAAGAATAGTCAGTGTCTCTACCTCAGTTTCTCTAGGGACAAACTAGAGATAATGATATTACCTCAGAGGGGTGTTATGGGAATTAATTAGTTATTTTTTTTCAGTCTCTGAAAAGAAGCCACCTCTTATATCAATGTTTATTATTAGTTAGAACCAACATGAAATATTTGAACTGAGAGTAGTTTTGCAATAGCATATTAATTCAGCATCTGCATATTAAACTTTGGATTCAGGTATAGGCACCAGTTCCTCAAAATGTGGCTGCTAATCTTTATAAGTGAAAATGTGGTTATGAAAACAGCTATTAGATTATAAGAACTGTTATGAATATCATTAAAATAAAATTTATTGTCCTTCAAAAAATTTCTTAAAAAAATTTTTTTTCAATGTTCATTTATTTTTGAGAGACCAAGATAGAGTGTGAGGGGCAGAGAAAGGGAGACACAGAATCTCAAGCAGGCTCCAGACTCTGAGCTGTCAGCACAGAGCCCATTGCAGGGCTCGAACTCACGTGCCATGAGATCATGACCGGAGCTGAAGTCACACGCTTATCTGACTAAGCCACCCAAGTGCTCCTAAAAAATTTATAAGTTTTAGTCATGGCATATGGCAATTTTAGACTATCATTTGGTACAACAAAAGTGTTTAAAGAGTCCTTTGGATTTTGTTGTAGATTTCCTTGAACTCTAGGTGACCAGAATATTGTTCACTTTTTCTTTATCTGTTTGCGTCTCTACCATAAGGGAATGGAAGAAACTGTTTCCTAGCAGCAATTGATTTTCTTTCAGGTCATGTGATCTGGCAGTATCTCTGAAGGTAAATGCAAAGAGTAGACAGTTGCTGGTCACCAATAATTAGAGTTCTTGGTTATGCATATGGTTTTGTAAGTCACTTCAGGAAAGAGTATCTATGTGTAGAAAATCTAAATAAGAAGATCAATAACTTGGGGAAAAAGCATTTAAAACAGATATCCTTTTCACTCCTTTAGTTACAACTAAATATTATGTAAAGTATAAGCTCTCTGATTCCCTTTTCAAGCTAAAATAATAAGTGCAGCTGGTCCAAAGGGATCTAAACAGCAACTGTACAATAGACAATGATGTCAAGGGAACTCCTCTGAGCAAGTTGACAGCAGTTCTCTGGGGACATCCTGGGATCATATTATTACCCATGGGTGCTATGTAACTTCATCTAGCATCCAGCTGGAGGAAGGCAGAAATAGCCTGTTGCAGTGTTCTTTTATTATCCTTTTTTTCCACCCCAATGCCCTGTTTGATCCTGTTTCTTTCTCCTATTTCCTGCCTGAAACTTTCTGGGACTACATTTGAAAAGAACTTATTTTTCTTTAAAATGAGTCATATGTAGTCTATGCCTTTCATAGCACTCACCCACCCACCAACCTATCCAAAGGCAGAAGCAAACATCAATGTCACTGACCAGCAAGTGTTGAAGTTGTTCAAGATTGCCTTGCCATGAAGTTTGTAGAAGTTGCATTTGGGGGGTCTGGATTCCACTGATCACCAATAGTTTTCTTTGGATGTCACAATTAGCCACATGAACAGCAGTTTGATTGCTGTAATTACAAAGGGTTATATCTGCTCCCTTTTCCAGAAGAAATTCAACAACCTGCAATGGCACAACATTCTTATGAAGCATCTTTGAGTGCAAAGAGTATCTTTAGAGCCACACAGAAAACTTAGTTAGACATGGCTTTGATTCATGATACAGAAAAAGAGAGTAAGAGGGGCATAAAAATGAAGAATTGATTTTGATGCAGGTGACTGCTATTTGCTCTTTTTAAGTTAGGGAAACAAAAATCTTCATTACATGGATGATTGGAGATACTATTCCTCTTTTTTTTTTTTTTCAAGA